ATGATAATTACTGTTTCTGGATTTTTACAACAAAACAATAGTCTTGACAGTCAACAAGCATGAGAACTGGGGTGTACAAATTTATCCCACCATGAAAGGTTCCATCCACAGAGTGTTCCAGAAATTATTTGATTTGGAAAAGAGTATTCAATCTTGAATGAAACAGGCTGATTCCGTTTAAAGAAGTTGGGTTCTGTTTTGCAAACTCAAGGTGGAATTCTACTTGCATTACTTTAAGCAATATATGAATTTTTAAAAACTATGACTTCAAAACCTTTTATGTAAAACTGGAATATTCCATGTTGTTTCCATGTAATTGAATGGACAGTACACTCAACTGTGTTCTGTTCTTTTGTTTTTTAAATGGTAGAGCATGTCTGATAATTATGCAGAAAGACAAACTGAAGAATGTTGCTGTTATAACATGATTACTAAATCATGACACCCATAGGAATATAGATTTTCCTCAAAAATAAAATTTACTCAAGTATTCTGAACTGTTGTGGATAAAGTCTCTATCATTTACAGGTGAGATAATATTATGGTCATGAAGTCTTTGCAAAGATTTCTCATGTTCCAATGACCAAAGAAAAAGTCCCTTAGAAAGTAACTCGTTGGGCTAGTGGATAGATTTCTAATGCCCATAATTTACTTTCAAACAAGTTCCCATTTAGATAATTGAAACATTATTTGGGAACGATAATTCAATTTTTCCTGAAAATAGGAGAAAATTAAGATTTTAAGGAATTATGCAATATATATTGCTATGCTTATGTACATGTTCCAATGGACATATTACAGCTGGAGCTGAATTGCCTATCAGATGTATGCAATGTACTGTATTTATATTTTTATATATGATTTGCAACACAGCTTTTATTGTTCAGTCTTTATATGAGAAAGTACTAGATGATATCTATAACTGATCTTGTATAGACAGGTGTGGATTGTAGGAATAGCAGTTTGCATTTTTAGAGATGACAGATTTTTTCCAACTTTCGTTGGCCACTAACAACAACCCATTTCACAAAGGCAATTGCTTAGTTTTGCCTGTGCATTTAACTAAAGTCTACATTTATGAATTTTAATTCATTTGTATGCCAAATGAAATCAGCCAAAATTATGATTAAACATTATTTTCAGGCAATATTACTGTCATCTAGCAACAGTTTGCTGTGGGAATTTCATATTAGCTATGGTTTCACCAAAACATACTGTTGATCATTAACACGATTCAGAGTTTGAATACTGATATGAAAGGTGCAAGAAGAGTTAAGGAAGATGCAATTGCAACATAATTATTTGTTCAGGTAGTCCTTGACTTAGGAATGTAATGGAAGTAAAGTTGTGAAAGCTGTAAAATGGGTCAATCATTTATCAACCCAATTTTACAACCCTTTTTGTGGCAGTCATTAAGTGAACACAGTGCTTGTAGAGCAAATACCACAGTTGTTAAGTGAGCCAATAGATCACCATGGGTGAGGTTTTCAGCAAAACTGTTGTAAAATGTCATGTGACCATGGGATGCTGTACATGGCCATAAATGTGGCCTGGTTGCTGAGTGCCCAAAGTGGTCATATGACTGCACACACAGGAGGCAACTATTGGAACTTTGAATCTGGGTCATAAGTAGCCCACAAGTATACCCACTGTAACTTTGAATAGTTGCTAAACAACCAGTCGTAAGTCGAGGACTACCTATACCATTTTTGAGGCAGCTGGATTTCACTATCAAATATTCTGCATTCCAGTTAGTACTGAGGATGGGATAGTAGCTACATCTTCCAAGTGCAGAAGGAATGTTTAAAATCTGATGAAATAACCCTGAAACATTAAAATCAATTTGTTCAGATTTTGTTGTAATTAAATAATTTGGTTTTTACATTTTAAAAAATTATGAAAAACATAGAAGAAACCTACCGATGTGTATGAATTTGTGCTATAGGCATTTAAAAAGTTTCTTCCTCAATATGGTAATACATTTCTAACACAAATACTTGAGATTCTTTTTGTCGCATTCAGCTTCTAGAGAAGCATTTCTTTTTTCTTTTGCATGGAGGCAATGACTGCATCATTTAAAGTATTTTTTCCCCTTCAGAACATATCATCCCAAATCACAATGCACCCACTTGCCCATTATCAAGTTTGTTAGTGCACATGTAACATAGGAATCAGATAAAACTATAGTGGGAATCCTAAAACAAGTGAAACGCAATGTTAGAAAATGACAAGAATCTTCCCTGGCATACAGCACACATACAAACACACAAAGTTTGGCCCCTGCCTAACCCTAAAAGATTGCCCAGCCCAGCAATAAACCAATCAAGCAAAAATCATATCATTGATTACAATTAATTGTCTTTAATCAGGCAGGAACACTAGTTTTCAGTTCATCAAAGTTGTGGTTTCCCAAATGCAGATGTATAGCAGATAATGCACAGAATTCTTTTTCCCAAACAGTTACAACAGGGGAATTTGAACAGGACTGACTAGAATTCCACGTAGCAGAGATACCTCTTTTCTTTCTTTATTGTCACTGCTGTCCTACTACTATTGTTTCCTTACTCCAATCTCAAACCTTATATTGGAAATCTGCTTGTAAAAATCAACAGAATTTACTTCCAGAGCAAAATAGTGAAGGTTGTAATGTGAAAAAACAATTTGAATGAATACATTCTATTCCCAATGTATCAAAAGAAGGTACATTATTTTAAATAGTCCCATATCTACCATAAACTCCTCTCTAGTTTACATGGCTCTTATTACCTGAATATGTTAAAGTCTCCCTTCTCTGCAAAATTTTGGCATTGGACAGCTGACAGTCTCCATTTCCATGAAGACATGCTGAATTTTACTAAAAAATATTTTTAAGGTGTTATATCTAACAAGTGTATGACAACTTTCCCCTTCAATTTACATATTTTAAAGACAACCCAACAGAGCAAAACATTTCACAATGTACAATATATGAAGATTAAACAGTATAAGGAGTAGTTTTCTCATTTTATTCCTCTGATTTTCTCATCACTTCCATATCTAAATATAAATAATTAGAACACTATGCTATGAAAATGAGTTGTCTATGCTAATATATGCTGTGTAAAACTATAACCTAGAAGTACACAACCTTTTCAAATATCCCAAATTTTATGGGTCATATTCTGGCACTTTTGGTGATTAGATCCTACTGAGATTTTTCAAATAGATTAAAATATCAGGGAAAAATCCAAACCTACACTATTACAGTTGTAATAATATTATCACAAAGACATCATGCTATCTCATTTATTCTCCACAAGACCATTCTGAAATATTTAAAATCTATACAGCTACAGAAAATAATGTGCTGCTTTTAAAAAAATATTTGAGACCACTACAGCTGGAAACTGTCATTCAGTCAGACCTACCAGTATGTGTAGTGCCTGTTTAGAAGTCTAACGCGACTGCCAAAGTGATTCTGAAAACAAGTCTCTTGTTTCTTAAATACTTTTCAGTAAAATGTACAATTTTCTCACATTCTTCCCTAACCAAATTGTTTATTGACCATTTTGAAATTGATTATAACCTATTTTATGTAAACAGCATACTGTATTATGTATAGCTTAAACGTATTAATTTCACCTTCCACTGTACATGCAAAGGCACTGATAAAACCAGTTCTATGAAACTGTTAAGTTCCTTGGCTTCCAAAATTTCTTAAGTCTTAAATTCTTAGATCATATAAAAATTCATAAAAGCCTCAGGTAATTAATTTCATTTAAAGTGTGTCTCTGCTAGATCCAGTTATCTTAAGAATATAATCTAAACCATAGTAATAGTATGAACATGAGTATTACGTAATATTATACAACTCTTCATATGTAAATCACCAGGGTAATAACGAGGAATGCAGCAATTCAAAGATGCTCAGTTACAAACAAAGCCTCTTATTGATACAAACTGAGGTCAGTTGACCATTCTGAAGAATTAAAAAAATCATTTCAAGTAAGGTTGAGTAAACTGAATTCGCCATAACAAAATTTCAAATAACCTTGCTCCAAGCATGGTTCTAACTACGCTCATTTTTACATATATAAATAAATGTGAAGTTCATTTTGGTCTCTCAGTTATGAAATAAGAGAAATTATAATCTAGCCCTTATATAAAGGGATGCATGAGCATGATTGTCCGACCTGAGGCTAGTTTATAATTAGAACAGTTTTGCTAACTCAACTGAAGAAAGCAATCAAAATATCTTCTGTTCATTATATCTAATCAACAAACAAGCTATTCAATGAACTGACAAAACTTTCTTTATAGTCCAAGGAATAAAGGTAGTTTACAGGAGGAAATCACAAGCAAGACTTTAAAGATTCAAGAACTGCTTCCAAGAGCGTGTTTAGGTTATATATAAAGTTTATGCTCACTTGAGCTATAAATGTCAATTCAAAAACCACACCTATAATCTCTAAAGGATTAACAGTTGTCCTGTATGTGTTAAGATTTCCCACTTTCCCAACATGTCATTTTCAAGACTTCCATTTTGCGCTGTAACCATATTCTATGTTAGCCAAACTGCTATTTTTATGATATTCAAGAAGTGTCAACAGATATTTCAAGTGATGATGCAGAGACAGTTAATTAGGCCTTGAATTTTTTTCTGAGCACATCCATGAAGCACTGGACTAAGTAGCTGGTTGATGAATGCTGATGTAGTGGATGAATTCTTCATCCTTTCATCAACTGTGCTGTTCTACAAAAAAGTATTAAAAAAGTATTATTTGAAAAACTAATGGCTTTCATTCTACATAATTACATAAATTACAAAGTAAAGCAATGTTTCTTAACCTTGGCAACTTGAAGATGTGTGGATTTAACTCCCTGAATTCCCCAGCCAGCATGCATCTGTAAGTTGCCAAAGTTGAGAAACGCTGAGAAATTTTATTAAATATAAAAGAGCCAGCAAAGTTTTCAAAAATAACTTACTTTAAGAACCAATGTTGCTTTCTTTACTTGCAAGACTAGGTTTCATTTTCCATAGATAGTGCAGGATTGCTCACACCTAAAAAAAAAGATGCTCTTAAGCAATGACTTTTAACTTTGTTTTAAATAAATTACACCTTGAAGCTGACAGAGAACTATAGCAGAAGCATTATCTGGATAAACCAAAGTGTATTCATAACCACTCACACTGCTGCTTTTTATATTTGTACCTTCTGAATGGTGTTCAACACACTGTGTAGAGTGTGTTGCATAGTTCAACTATTCAGAAAAATTTACAGGCTTATGGCACCTGACTCCATACTGGCAGATGACCTTGCCCAGCAGCCTTCTGTAAGTCTTAAACAGAGTGTTAAACTCTGAGAAATCTTATAAAGAAGGCTCGATTCTCCTCCACCCTCTCCAAGCACCAACTGAAATTAGCCAGAGAAAAGAGTGGGATCACTATAAAACAGTTTCTTCATCTTACAAACCCCGGAATCAGCCCAGAAAGAAATCGCAATCAATGAAACAGAAGGCTGCTTAAGAGGTAACCAGGAAAGTTACATCATTCCTATCCTGTCAGCTGTCATCCAGAAGTGCTATCGATGCTATCAAGTGCTTTCAAACATTATAGTATAACTCAGCCTGAAACCTGACTGAAAAAGGTGCAGATAATCAGCTTCCTTGAGGGCCCTCTGAAGCTGCAGCCAACTGCCCTATTAAAAAGGGGAGGTTGTAACCTGAACAAAAATTGTCCATTTTGTAATGCTCCCTTGATTATTTTTATAAATAACTCAAGCTGGTGAACATATCTAATACTCCTCCTATTTTCCACACAACAACCCTGTAAGGAGGGTTGGGTTGAGAAAGTGACTGGCCCAAAGGCACCCAGCAGGCTTTCATGCATACGGCGGGACTAGTAGAACAGTAATTCTATGTTGGGTTCAGTGATGTTTTCATGGGATGGGGTACAACCACCAAGAGTGCTATTAGTAGAACCAAGGCTTCAATTCTCACAATTGTACACTGAGTTCATCTATATTTATTTATTTCTACCATTTATAGTCAATAGATGAAAAAAAAGTTTCACTAGAAGAAAAAATGAAATCATTTTCACTGATTTGTTCATGATGTCCCTCGAAGGGAGGGAAATGCCAAAGTTCTGAAAATCTTATACAGTACTCCTTGACTTACAACCACAATTGAGCCCAAAATTTATATTGCTAAATGAGGCAAATGTTAAATGAGTTTTGCCCCATTTTACAACCTTTCTTGCCACAGTTAAGTAAATCACTGCAGTTGTTAAGTTAGTAACATGGTTGTTAACTGAATCTGTCTTCCCCATTGACTTTGCTTGTCAGAAGGTCACAAAAATTCAGATGTTGCCAAACATCTGAATTTTGATCATGTGACCATTAGGATGCTGCAATGGGTTGTAAGTGTGAAAAATGGTCATAAGTCAGTTTTTCCAGTGCTGTTGTAACTTCGGTCACTAAACTAATAGTTGTACATTGAGGTCTACCTGTACCAAAATATGTGCCCACCTCCAAATTTTCAGCTTGTCAACCTAAAATGCTCTCCTCTTATCTTTGGCTGAAATTATCTGATCTGATGCCTCAGCCTAACAACCCACTTTTAAAACTTACTATAAAAATATTGTAACAATTTCTTACCTAGTTTGTTCTTTTCAGTATCTGCACTAGTTTCTGTCCAAGATTGAGGATCAGTAAGAAGGTGGCTCTGGGAATCTCGTAATGTCTTAGCCGGAAAATGATGACTATTCTCACTATTAAAAAAATGATTTAAAAAGTTGAATGAGAAGCAATTCCATGAACTGAATTATTGATCAGGGCGCTTGAGCAATACAGGAGAATGCCAATGTTATTTTCTTGCCAATAAGGGATAGTTTGCCATATGGTAAGGAATTTCTGTGATGTCTCTGCCAGACAACTATGGGTTTCTGGGAAGTGTAATCAAAAGGTGCAGTGGTGCTGAAGTATCTACAACTTTCCCAAGTTTCATTTCCACAGGAGTCATGAGTCCTGACTGTCAACATCCAGCTTGAGAATCCAAATAAAACTTGTTCATGCTTGTACATTCAATGTTGCTTCACAACATTGCTTCAGTTCATCAAAGTTTGTGGGAATTTGTTTATGCATAGCTCTTTTGAGGTCTCACCACAACATTTCAATCAGGTTGAGGTCTGGGCCATTGGAACACCTTGGCTCTTTTCTTTTTCAGCCATTCTGTTGTAGATTTGCTGATGTGCTTGGGATCACTGTCCTGTTGCATGACCCAATGTCGGGCCAACTTTCGCAGTCGGACAGATGGTCTCATATTTGACTTTAGAACACTTTGGTATACAGAGGAGCTCAGGGTCGACTCAATGACCGCAAGGTGCCCAGGTCCTGTGGATGCAAAACAAGCCCAAATCTTCACACTACCTTGATGATTGGTATGAGATGTTTGTGCTGATATACTTGTGTTTGATACTTCACCAAATATAGCACTGTGCATTATGGCCACACATCTCCACTTTGGTCTCATCTGTCCAAAAGTCAGTGTTCCAGAAGTCTTGCGATTTTTTCAGATGCAACTTTGCAAACCTAAGCTGTGCTGCCATGTTGTTTTTAGAGAGAAGAGGCTTTCTCCTGGCAACCCTTCCAAACAAACCATACTTGTTCAGTCTTTTTCTAATTGTACTATCATGAACTTTAACATTTAACCTACTGAGGCCTGTAGAGTCTGAGATGTAACTGTTGGATTTGTTTGCAATTTCTCTAAGCATTGCATGGTCTGACCTTGGGGTGAATTTGCTAAGACATCCACTCCTGGGAAGATTGGCAACTGTCTTGCACGTTTTCCACTTGTGAATAATCTTCCTTACTGCAGAATGATGGATTTTTAATTTTTTGGAAATGGCTTTATAACCTTTCCCAGATTGATGGGCAGCAATAACTGCTTCTCTGAAATCACTGATGATGTCTTTCCTCTTTGGCACTGTGTTAATACACACCTCAGTGCTGAAGACTAGCAAACTTCTAAAACTTCGGCTTTTATAGAGGTAGTCACACTTGCTGATGATCAATTAAGCACCTGGCTGATATTTAGACTCTTCATATCTATGAAGGCAGTAATGGTGTACTTAGTTTTTCACACGTGGCTTCTCCATTTTAGCTTTCGTTTTGTAAAATAAATGATGACATGGTGTAATCTGCTAAGGATCAGATGATTTTTACTATGTCCTGATACATAAAACCAAAGAACTCTAAGAAGGTGTATTTTCTTTTTCACATGCTTGTAAATGGTTTTGGTGTGTAAACAGATTAGCATCTGAGAAAAGACTATGAGAAAATGAAACATCAGCTATGTGTAAATATTGTGTGATAAAAATGTTTTAAGTCCGATTTGTTTCTTTTTCACGTGCTTGTAAATGATTTTGGTGTGCAAACAGATTAGCATCTGAGAAAAGACTATGAGAAAATGAAACATCAGCTATGTGTAAATATTGTGTGGTAAAAATGTTTTAAGTCCGATTTGTTGAAAAAAAGATAGAGATATTATTACCCATTACGAGGTGGGCTGTGCAAGAGATGCAAGTTAGAATTGTTGCTTTTGCTAAGAAAGAAAGATGCAGAATAGAATTGGATAAAAGGCAATGATCATTCAGTTATTTTAGCCCTGGCTTAGCATTTGTTATGAGCTACATGAAGGCCTTTATGTGCTTCTCCGGGTGTTGCACCACTGTATTTTCATACTGAATGTATGACTTTTCTGAACGTTTCTGGATGGCAGATAATCACTATTAATGTGCCTGAAGTATGATTATTTCTACATGAAATAACAACACATGCAATAATATATAACCTTAGATTGGACCTGGGTATTTGAGAGACCACTTATTTCCAACTATTTCTGCCTGCCCATTATGTTCAAGCAAAGAGGGTGCGCTCCAGGTCCCCTCCATTAAATATTGCCATCTTGTGAGGCCTAGGAAGTGTGCCTTCATGTTGCCCTCCCCCATGCTCCCAGAACAGCACCCCACAAAAATAAGGTTGGTTCTCTCTTCCTGGGGTTCCAGAAAACTGAAAATCTGCTTTGCTCCTAGACCTGGGATTGATATTTATTATTTATTCAGTTGTTCAATTTGAATTTGTTATTGTTGCTGTCTATTATTTTAATCTGGGCGGTCTGTGATTTAATGTTTTTAGCTGTTTTTATGTTTTCCCTAGCTTTATACATCACTCAGATTCCACTAGAATTGGGTGGCCAAGAAATTTAAATAAATACATACATACAATACATAAAGAATTATAATAATAATATATAGGCATACTTTTTATTTGCACTGTGTGCTGCAGGAGTAGAAGCTTGTTCAAGATCTTGGTTAACAAGGCAGGTAGGAAAAGAGCATCCATCTCCTAGACTGAAAATTAATTAAAAAACATAGATAAGTAAGCTGCACTCAAAAGCTTTTTCAATGTTGAATTTAAGTTTTGGTATTAAAAAGTATTTAGTTTACATAATTTAATGTGGAAACAATGGTCTCTTAAATACAGAACTCACCTGGTAAAAATTGGCAACAGCCAATACTTTTTCTCATCTCCAAAGACTTCCCTTAAGTTTTTGCTGAAGCCCAAATTAAACCCATTTTTATCTGTTCCATGTCGAAAAACAGGTGCTCGGAATGCCTCTATAAGAAATTGTTACATTATTTAACATTTTCAAAATAGGACGCTCAAGGGGCAGAGTGGTTTGTTGACAAAATAAAGTTCTAATTCCTTACCTAAAGTTGATTTATTCTTACTGACCAACCAGCAATGATAACCAAAGAGAGAGGATAAGCTAATTGAAAACATAGCTGCAGCAAAGAACAAAAACATAATATGGAACTTCGCTTGAGTATCAGGAAGGCCATTCTATAAAAAAAGAGGAAAAAACAATTGTTTCAATGCTCTTTTAAATACATAAATACATCTATTTAAAAATCAAGGTAAATCAATAATGACTACATACAATCTTCTCTTATTTATTCCAGTGTTTTCCAACTTGCCAACATTAAGACGTGTGGACTTCAACTTCCAGAATTCCCTGGACAGCATAACCAGTAGACTAGCTCTACACATCTTATAAGTTGCCAACTTTGAAAAACACTGATTTATATTATAACTATATTGGACCTAACTGAAGTGCTATAAATACAGGTAGTCTCAATTTAAAACCATTCGTTTAGTGACCATTTAAAATTACAATGGCACTGAAAAAAGTGACTTATGACTGGTTTTCAAACCATGGTCACTTGATGAAAATTTGGACATTTGACAACTGGGTTCATGTGATCACTATTTGTAAACTTTTCAGCCAGCTTCCGACAAGCAGTCAATGGGGGAAGCCAGATACATTTAACAACTGCACGATTCACTTAAGAATTGCAGTGATTAAGAGCTGTGGCAAAAATGAACACAAAATGGGGCAAAATTCACTTAACTGCCTTCCTCAGCAACAGAAATTTTGCACTCAATTGTAGTCGTAAGTCAATGACTACTTGTATTGTTATATGGAGGACTGTTTGAATGTGCCTCATAGTTATTTGTTAATCAAATTACACCTAAACATGATAAATGAACCACGTTTATAAGTTGAAGCTTGATAAATTTAATTGTACTCTGTAACTGACCTCCAACCAGTTTTTTAAGTACTGAAAATATTGAAGGAACAAGAATTTTATTTAAGGATCCAGAATACTAATTAATGCCCACAACATCTAAATATTGTACATGGAATATATGGAGAAAAAAAATCACGTATTCCTGATTCTCATTGTATCTTGTCAGGAAGACACAATTTTAAAGACCAGCTTTATACAGAACATTGTCTAAAAAACTATAGAATTATACAGACCTTAAACACAATCTAAACATTTCAGAATATTCCAATTATTGACTACTACCAATATATAATTAAATCCCAATGCCTGTCATATTCCCTTTTGCCACACAACTATGGGTTTCTGGGAAGTGTAATCAAAAGGTGCAGTGGTGCTGAAGTATCTACAACTTTCCCAAGTTTCATTTCCACAGGAGTCATGAGTCCTGACTGTCCACATCCAGCTTGAGAATCCAAATAAAACTCCAGTTTCATTCTGTTTCCAAAAAGTTTACAGTTTATTGAATAAACTGCATGGTTATGTCGAAGTAAAACTACCTCTGAGGTTCCAACACCAATTCACAGACTTAAACAATAATTTTCCCAGCCAAACTCCCAACGTCTTACGTAATCCATATCATCAAGTTCACTTTATTATGGGTACTGTATGCCTCAAATCCACACCTGTTCTGGTGACCTTGGCAAGGCTTCAGGCTCCCACCATCTTCAGCTGAATCGAAGAAGTTTTGTTTCTCCTTCTTACCCACTTTAAAGTAACACCTCCCCCCTTAATCTAAAGACAAGTTGAAACGTAAAGTTTCATCCTCACATTGACATTCCGTAAATTAGCCCATTTGAGTTACCGTCAATAATTTTTGCCCTACATCTTCCAATGTCACCTAACTGAAGCTTACAGACACAAGAGTTTCAATAATATATACATTCTGAACCAGAAAATGAACTGAAACTTACTGTCCAGAATCTAATAAAATGCTGTAACTCAGTTGCAAAGATGAAAAGGCAGTATAATAGAGAGTAAGCCAAGAACAGAAGAAAAAACTTGTAATTTGAGAATCCAACACAGTTGTTCACCCTAGGAAAAGAGAATACAAATTGCTGAAACCATATGTATGAATGGATACACACACAACAAATATATTTATATTACTCCATTTGTTATGAGTAAACTCACTTCTGTTTTTCACATTAAAACAATGCTTTAAATAAAGGAGTCACATCAATGAACAGTATAATTCATAATAATATTACAAACATAAAATGTAATAGTCACAAAAAATTAAAAACAGAAAGATGAACTGGGCTTATTAAGATGTTTCTTTCAATATTTTCCACAAAAACTACATAATTTTTGAACTGGTATATTACTCTTTCCCTGGAGTTTCTTAAAGAAACTGGTTTCAAAAGTATCGCTTGTTATTATAGTTCTTCAGTTCTGACCAGTGCTATTGTTAAAGCAGCAACAGTAAAATCATTTTTTTTGCTAATAAAGATAGCAAGCTTCCCTGTGTTCTTGATATTCATAATGACAAAAAAATTACTTACCAGGGACAGTGATGATCCATTTTCAAAATACATCTTAAAAAGACAAACAATGTAGATTATTTTATAGAATTCACAAAAAAGTTAATCATATTGCAACAAAACCTTTGTGCCAAAGACAATCTTAACAGATAAAACAAATTAGTCCATAACTTCAGTTGGTATAACTGGACCACCATCTAAGCAAGGAATTTAATTTGTGCTTGAACTGACTTAGATATCATTCATATGATAGCATCCTTATTTTGTCGTATCATCAAATCAGATGGTTGTCTAGCCTCTGGCTAGGATAAAATCAGGTGACTGAATATCAGAAGCTTGATTTGGGCTCAGGTTTTTGTTTTATGTGTTTGGTTTTAATAGTTTTAATATGCTTTTATGTTATTTTTATTTTTGATTAAGAGCCACCCAGAGTCTGTTATAAGATGGGCAGCTATATAAGTGTTTAAATGAATAAATTAAACGTTTCTGAAATCACTTTCAACAAACAAGATGTAAATAAGTTCTCAGCTTTGCAAATATTGTAATATTTGTTTCTTACTTATCACAGACAGAACAATGATGGCAGCGATCTGGTTTTATAAGTTGGCATCTATCACAGTATCTGATTGCTGTAAAGGCACAAAAAAATCTATGTTTACTCTACGTGATGCCTTCTGTATATCTTCCTGCATATCCCAGACAACTACAAAAAGTCATTTTATTAACAATCCCATGTTTCTTTTTTGGACGCAAATTATAATTTATATATTTCAATTCTACCCTGTTAATTTGTATTCTGAGTACAATAAAACATATTCATAGATATTTGTGCATACGACTATTTTTTAGTTAAAACATATTTTAACTATATTCTTGAATAATGCAAAAATATCTGTTAATTTTAGTAACCTCAGTACCAAAAGTGTTCTCATAACTCTTAACAAATATCTGGCAATTAATCAGCTGTTTGGCAAGCAACTGAAGAGACTATCAGGTCCTCTCACCACAACTAGTCAGTTACCAACAATTATTTGATAAAGCTGTGATCTATAGCTGTTGCTACATGAATTTTAAATTATACAGAGTTCTCATAAGAAACAAACTCTATATCCAATGGGACTGGAGGTGCAGTCAGCTAATTATCCTATTCAAACAGTTTCTACAATTGATCCAAAGTCAATTAAGAGAGCCAAAATATAGTTTTATTTATACACTAAAAGTTTTTAAGCAGTTACTAAGTTTAGTAACTTATGTTCACAATTAAATGCAATTGAAATTAAAGAATCCAATAACTCTACTGCACCCTTTGGTTTAATAATTGTTCTTCTTTAAATACTCTGGCTTAATTTATAGAGATGAACAAAACAATCCAACATTATATCCTAACTTTTGAATGTTTTTTCCCGAGAAACCATTTCATTTCACTTTGTTTCACTTAATTTTGGCATATTATGATTGGCTTTGATTTTTTAAAAAAAGATTCAAGTCAATAAATTTGGACCATCTATTAGGCAATAAAACAGCGGGCACAGATTCTGTCTCACTGCTATCAGCTGGATAGGCTAGAAAAGGAACTTGGTGGTTTCATGGATTGTTAAACAAATATTTATAGACAGAATCGTTTTCAATGGCCGCTTAATTGAAAACCAAAGCTGAAGATCACAGACTACTCTAGATGAGCATCTTGAGAGCAATCTCACAAAAGTAGTTGCCATAGTACATCTGACAATCTACTAAACACTTATTTAAAATAAGAATGTTAGATGTTCTTTGTCCTTCCCTCTAGCCGATCAGCAAGTTCCCTAACTTGGTCTTTTTCTGACAAGTGGAACTCATTTTAAGCATATCACTGTACAGAAACCAACCACCTTTTATATTTAATATATTTCATAATGAATTTTTTAGTTTTCATATGGATACTCTTATGCCTGCGAAATAATCAGGAGGACATCATTCTTGACAAATATTTACCTCCAGACATTGTTCTTGTACTGATAGGGAGGTCCTTGGCTGCCCTCTTCAGCACTTCTTGATGGGTTTCATTTCTAGGTTCTCTATCCATCAATTCCTTATCTGAATAGCTCAGATGGAACTAGGAAATAATGCAGTTCTTGAATCATTATTTATTAACCATTTAGTATAATCATCTTTAGACATTTACCTAAATATTGGAAGGTTTGAAACTAAACAGACAAGCTAATGTGGCTGCTACTTTCTCAATTCAGAAAGGCTATACAGGTAGTCCTTGACTTATGATAGTAATGGAGACTGCCCATTTGTGTCGGAAGTCGTGGACTATGTTAAATTAAGCACATGATAAACAACCTCCCCATCCTTGCTTTTCCCAATGCATTCATTAAACGAATGCACGAGTTGTTAGGTAGAAAATGGAATGTCTCAGCAGAGGGGGAAAATAAGAGAGGCCTAGTGCAGGCACAGGCATACCCAGAAGGCCTCCCCCACCCTCTGAGATAGCCAATGTTCTGCCTCCTGCCCCTTGGGTTCCCTAAAGCTCTATGGGCTTCCTCCATACCCCACCCCGTTATAATTGCACACCTTTGAAGGTATCCAGAGCTCAGGAAGTTGGGAGTATAGAAGGCCACTCCATTGCTCAAGGGCATAATTGAGAAGAAATCCTGTTGTTTTTGCTTCTATTGCAACTCTTTCCTCCCTAGTCAGTATAAATTGGTAATGATTTTTTCTTAGCACTGGCAGTGCTAGCTTTATACTAGACTTATGCTGGTAGAGCTAAGAAGAAATTGTGCCTATTTTGGTTCCTTGCAAGACTAGCACTGGTGGCACTAAGAAGAAATCATAGATTTATGCTGGGGAGCAAAGGATTGCATGGACCAAAATAGGCACAATTTCTTCTTAGCATTGCAAGTGCTAGCTTTACACTAGTCATACGCTGGCAGAGCAAAGAAGAAACCCTATCGCCGTGGTGGCGAACCTATGGCACGTGTGCCACAGGTGGCACGCAGAGCCCTCTCTGTGGGCACACACACCGTCGCCCCAGTCCTAGTCCTTCAGCTGGGTTTTATAAAACTTTTTCGCTTTAGGCCTCCGCTGCCATTTGCAAAAAAAAAAAAAAGGTTCAATCAATCAATTTCAACTTCTCGCAGAAAAAAAAAAGATCTTGCAAAGTTGGAATTGATTGATTGAACATTTTAGTTCCACTCAGTCTGCCATTACCACCGAAGCCACACCCACCCAATGGGCCACGCCCACCCGGCACCCGACGATACATAAGTCGGTTTTGAGTTGCAGTTTGGGCACTCGGTCTCTAAAAGGTTCGCCATCACTGCCTTATCGCCTTTGCTTCCTCTGCAATCCTTTCCTCCACAGCCATACTGGTTTAAGCTGGCTGGGGAGAAAAGGATTGCAAGGGATAAATAGGCACAATTTCTTCTTAGCTCCACAGCATAAGACTAGCGTAAAGCTAGCACTGGTGGCACTAAGAAGAAATCGTAGCAATTTACACTCGCAGGAAAGGATTGCAATGGAAGCAAAAGTGACAGGATTTCTTCTTCTTGATTGTGCCATATGGCCCAGCAAGGGAACGGCCTTCTCTACCCTGACTTCTTGAGTTCTGAATTAGTGAGCAAATGGTGACCAGGAGTGGAGGTGGGAAGGAGCGCATGGAACCTGGTATGTTGGCAAAGCAGGCCCAGTGCCTCGGAGGACATGGCGGGGCAGGATGGGATGGTAATAGGTGGGTGTACTGCAGTGTCTCTGCAGTCAGTCGTAAGGGTGAATGACCGTACGGGCACTGCAAGGTTCGTAACTTTGAAATGGGTTCGTATTTAGCTTTTGGGGTGGTGGTAGTGTTGTATCTTTAAACATTCATTAAATGGCCTGCTATACCTCAAGGATTACTTGTAATCACATTTGTTTGAATATGAAATTATAACTTTATCCATAATTAAGGATCTGATTTATTAAAGCCTGGACTGTGCTGAGAGTTTTTTAAGGGAATCCTAACAAATTACCCTTCCCATATTGCTAAGTGAAATTGGTAGGAAGGAAGTGCATTCTTATTCTTAAAAAAGAAAGAAAGAAAGCAAATGTAAGAGTAGACAACTATTTAAAGTTTTCAGTTTTAATTGTTTTTAATTTTGTTATATTGAGAATCAGTACATCAATCTCTTTTCCCTATAAAAATGATAGAATATTTCAGATATTAAAACTAAATCTGCCCTTAACCTCTTTAAGTAATTTGAAAGGCAATCTGAAAATGAGGCTAAAATGCAATCTTGTTCAGTGTCCAGGAGAGAAATCCTTAAATAAAACACAATATTATCAGCAATGTTTTATATCATTTAATGAAAGAAATGGCCCTTTGCAAGTAATTAGAAAATGGCTGCTATACAGAGATTTAAACCAACATTTTAAAATAATGCATTATATTTGTTAAATAATTAAAAAATAATAGGTCTGCCTAGAGAAATAAAAATAAATTCCCTTGTTTCCTTTATTAATATCAAACAATAGTATTTCTGAATTACATTTTTCCATTTATACATATATACAATGTAATGTAATATATTTTTCAATTTTATTTAACAATATGCTATTTGAAGTATGTTAATATTATTCCCACCACAGTTAGCTGAGCTGATGACAAGACTAAGAAAATTCAGTATTAAGGAACTGAATATACTTGTTAAGGGGATTTATTTTCCCTTTTATATGTCATATCCTTATTTCTATAATAAGCAAATTTGGGGAAAAAGAATAAGTACATGAAAGAACATGCAATATAAAGTGATGTTTTTCACATAAATGTTAACAGCTTTGACACTATCAATAAAGTACACATGTTGGTAGCATGTGTCTTCAGATGAACAGATGGAAAGCTAGAGAGAATATATTTATGTAGGATGTTATTTACTATATACACGCAGAACCTTTGTGCACCAGAAAGAAAATTAGTAAACAAGGTTTTTTTCTTGCACAAAATTATAACTTACTTCTTTGGAAGGATTCATTGGTAATGTAAAGATTGTTTTCCAGTAAGACCACAAAAACATCATGAAAAATAGATGATACGCAATCAGGCACACCACTAAAACAAGATCATAAAATTAAGGCATTAAGCAAATGACAGAAACTGTCAGAGATATACTGACAACCAAAAAAAAGAGCCAAACATTCCCAATGATTCACAATAAAGAACAGTATTATCAAAACACCAACAGAACTGTAAAATAATGGCTCTTAAAGAAGCTACAAAACACTACCAGAATGTGTTCAGACAGAAAACTTTGTAAGGAATAAATTTCTGTATGTTCTGTCATTTAACCTTTTCATTATTTACTGTATATCTGTATTCCTTAGAATGGATCTAATGGGGGCAAGAGAATCTTAATGTGTCTATAGCAAGATTGTTATGCACTTAGTTATATACAATAACAACAGAAACCCAAGGACCCTGTTCTATCAAATCAAAGACCTATTTAAGTCCTATTTCCACTAAGACAATTACTCTTCTATAGCAGTTAATGTTCAGAGATATGGTTTCTCTGATTCTGAAAGTAATAAACAGGCAACATGATTAGTTAAAAATAAGATATTCAATAGGTACTAAACCATCTAATGCAGAGGGGTCCCCAACCTTTTGGGCACCAGGGACCGGTTCTGTGGAGAGGTTTTTCTGCGGACTAGAGGGTGCGTGGTTTTGTGGGCTGCCTGCATCCCGCGGATGGGGCTTTGCTTGTTTGTGTGGCCCGGTTGCTGGCATGCCGCAGCCCGGTACTGGTCCATGGACCAGGGGTTGAGGACCCCTGATCTAATGCATCTTAAACTCATCTAAGCTGATGGTCATCAATTTAGTTTTACTGTATAATATAATTTACCTATGGATGGAATAAAGAAGCTGATAACTTTCTGCTCAAGAAGTCTACATTTTAACTACTGAAATAAAGACGATAGAATCAAAGAAAAACAAGAAAATAGCATGTTTAGTTTGTAACAATCTTAGTGGCAGTAGGAGATAGGACAAAATACATAGCAATACACAAGATAGACACCATTATATATTCCTTAACATTCTCCTGACTGGTTCCGCTCCATTTCATAGGGCAAGGAGGTAACAACTGTAATATAAATACTACAATGTTAGTATTAGTGCAGCAAATAGAAACATAGGAATGGGGTCTAGTAGTATCAACTAAAGTTTTCTCAATTTCTTCTATAAAATTATAAAGAATCTGTTTGGTTGTATCTGTCATTTATACAGAGAAGATAGACCAAGCTTTTGTCCACTTTTTCCTTAGAAAACCTGATGATCATTGGTTAGGTTTAATGATATATTTACAGGAAGACAGAAATTAAAATGCAGCCTAAAACTCCAATTAGAAAAGGCATGTAATTTTCAATAACTGCTGAAATAAATCAATTTTTAATGAAATGCCTGAACATATAGACACTATAATAGACTTAAATTCTATAAACTACAAAGTAGAAAAAATAGCTATTACTTACTTTTTTCTCCAATATTTGATATTGTTACTGCAAGAGAGAAAAGGAGGAAAGATCAGTGAGAAAACTTGACATTATTTGACACAAAAAAGCATTCTCAGTTTCTTAAGTACATATATACCTATCTTTGAATGAACATATAAATAGTTTATTTTGCATTCCTACATTATACTTAGTTGAATTAAATATTGCTTTTGAAAAAGATATTTGCAGATTTTTCAGAAGGGAATAAAAACAAAGAACAAATCTTGTCAGAAATAGTATACTACAAGAGAAAATAAGTAATATAACCAAGGAAAGATGGGAAAAAATTAGTAATTAGACATATTCAGCACATCTAAGATGTTTTCTGAGCTGAGTTCAACTCCTGATGACTTTGCTGGGATGTTTGGATAGAATTTTTGGCAGTTATATGGATTGCTATTCCTTTCTTCTGAGAGTTTTTTTCCTTTTTTCTTTTAGCTTTTAGTTTTCTGATATTTCCAGATGATCTCTCAACCATTGATGTAGTCTGACTTTTCTTATCATCTATTATCAGGATCAGTGAAGCATAGCTGTAAGACCACTGCTAAAATCACTGACTGGCTTCTGATCTATTATGGGGTATAGAATCCTCCCCTCAGTGTGACTGTGGGGTCTCATGTCAAACTGTAGATCACATTGTGACTGGCTGTAAGTTGAAGCCATATATTGATCCAGTTTCTGATTTTTTTCAGATAAAGGATATGGCCTAGACCAGGGGCAGGCAACCTTGGCTCTTTTATGACTCATGGACTTCAACTCCCAGAATTCCTGAGTCAGCTGGGAGTTGAAGTCCATGAGTCATAAAAGAGCCGAGGTTGCCTACCCCTGGCCTGGACACTGGTATATGAATATAGATGTTTTTAACGTTCATATAACATTCATGTTAATATACATTATAAATCCATGTTTGTTATGCTATACACTAAATAAATAAATATTATCAGGAGAACTTTAAGAACTTATTTATCATCAGCTGGAAGGTCAAAATATGGGGTTGATATTTAATTCGCGATTATTCCCCTGATCCCTCTGAAAATAAAAGCAGCAGTTTTAGATTGGAATACTTTTCGACCAATGGTTCTCAACCTTTTTAATGCCGCGACCCCAACCGGTCGTAAGTCGAGGACTAAACCGGTCGTAAGTCGAGGACTAAACCGGTCGAGGACTTTCCCTGCCCGGGAGCGCCGCGCATGCGTGGCTCCGCCCCCTGCACCGGCCGAGGCATAGCTGGCAAGCGGCAGAGACGGAGCAGGCCGACCACCAGCTGGCCCAGCCCAAGGGAGGTAAGGCACCCGCCGGAAAAGGGGGAAAAATGGCGGACAAAAAAAATGGTGGACAAAAAAAATGGTGGACAGCCTTGCTTGGCGACCCCCATGAAATGGTCGATCGACCCCAAATGGGGTCCCGACCCACAGGTTGAGAACCACTGTTTTAGACTATCTCAAGAGTTAGGGTTGCCAGGTGTCCACTATTTGAGTGGACAGTCCGCTTTTTTCACATTATGTTCACAAAATAGTGGACATTTTTTTTATTCAAAAGCTTTATGATGAAATGGTACGTAATCTAAAGCTGTACAGTCTACTTTTTTTTACTACTTAACCCCCCCCCCCCGCTTGTCCGCTATTTTTTGGAAGCAGACCTGGCAACCCTATCAAGAGTGCATTAATTTTCTTCTGGGCCAGCAAGAAGAAATGGACTATTAAAACAGAGACTAATACCACAGCATATGGACAAAATGAACTGTAGCTTATAAACAACACTTATAATTAATATTTAAGGTTGAATAACACCAGTTAGTAATTAATTGGATTGTAACAGATTCCAAGGAATCTAAGTATTGCATAGAATCAGAGAATCATAGAGATAGAAGGGGGTTGCAAGGATCATTAAATGCAACCCTTGAAATATTCAGAAAAAACAATGAAATCATCCATGAGAATTGGCTATCTAGTTTCTTAAAAAATTCCAGAGAAGCAGTTATCCACAATCTCCACAGACTCCTATATTTATAGTCCTACAGTATATTTATAGATACTGCAGACACAAACCTTCTAATATTAAGCACAAGCCAAATTTCTCAAGTAAACCTTTAGTTCTTTAAATCAAGATAAAAGTTCTTTAACAAGCTAGAAAAAGTATCAAGCCAAGAATGCCAGATTCAGTTCGAGGCCCTGTTCTGTTCAACGTAATTATAAATGACGTGAATAAAGGTTAGAAAATAATCAGATTTACAGATTTACAAGGACAGAGGAACAACAAATCTGCTAGAGGAGAAATTAAAACACTGGTGAAAACAAGCAAGATAGATTTCAACAATAACAAAAATGGCCTGCATTTGAGTAGGAAAAATCCAAGACCCAAGTTTAGCATGAAGGAACACTATATTAGGTAACAGTGCATGGAAAAAAATCTGAGATCTTGCTGGATCCCAAGCTAAGCATGAGCCAACTGGACAGTATACTTGCAAAATAGCAAATGCAGTGTTAGTCTGCATCAACAGAAGTAAACAGGTAGTACTCACTTAAAAACTGCCTTCAACTACAACCATTTACAGTTATGATGGTGATAAAAAGTAACTTTGTGACCAGCGCCTGCATTTATGACCTTCACAGGAAGGCTGAACTAAGATTGTAGGCAGAGTTGCAGTCATAAACTTTTTTTTTTTCCAATAAAAATTTTATTATTTTCATCATAAAAAAAACCATCACAAATATAACACAATATAATATAAAAAACACCCACATCCCCCACCCCCCCACCCCCCCGAGACTTCCCAAACCTAATCCCAGGATAATATTCAAATATAAGTAAACAATTATTAATATCTCTAACTCCACAAGGTATGTAAATTTTACATAAATAAGTGAAATATATATATGAAAAAAAGAAAAAAAAACCCAGTTAATTAAAAACCTAAATTATATTCCACTATTCTATGCTTCTTTTGAATATAAACAATCCATCTTCTCCATATAGATAAAAATTGTTCATTTGAGTGATTCTTCAAATAAGCTGAAATCTTTGCCATTTCAGCAAGGTGCGAAAATTTCAATCTCCAATCTTCCATTGTAGGTAAAATTTTACTCTTCCAATTTTGAGCTATCAACAAACGGGCAGCAGTTAAACAGTACAACATCAAATTAGTTTCTTTTACATCCAAATTATGTGTAATACCTAGGAGAAACAGGTGAGGCAAAAAAATAATCCTTCTTTTAAATATTTGTTGCAAGTTCCACCACAATTTANAAATTCTCACGTAGATTTTGAGCTTGCGTGAACTTCACATTTCTCACCCATATCAACTCCCAGGTATCCATAGATATTGTTTCACCTATATTTTGAGCCCATTTGATCATACAATCTTTAACCAACTCAGTTTCTGAATCCAATTCTAATAGGACATTATATATCCTTCTAATGTGTCCTTTAGCACCGTCCCTTACTTATTTCAAAAAATTTCCATCTTCCATAGAAAAAGTAGTCTTTTTATCAATTCGCCATCTGTCTTGTATTTGTCTATACACCAGCCAAGAAAAGTCTGGATTTTTCTGTTTCAAAACTTCTATTGGTTTCAGGCACCAGTTACCACCACCACTCTGATATAACAAGTCTTTATAAGAAGGCGCCTCCATCACCACATATCTAGGTATAGTCAAAAAGATATGTGATGGTATCACCCAAATTGGAAGTCCAATATCAAACTTAAAAAAATACTTTTGCCAAACTCTTAACAAGGCAGCCCTTATTATGTGGTTTCTAAAAGTTTTATCAATCTTTTTCTGCATAAAAAGATAAGCATGCCACCCAAAGTACAAGTCCCATCCTTCAACATTCAATATCCTATTGTTAGAGCAGTCATAAACTTTTTCACTTAGTAAACATTTTGTTTAATGACCAAGTTACTGGTCCCAACTGTGGCCACTAAATAGGGACTACCTATAATATCAATATCAAAAGGTCATCATTCTTCTCCATTTTATGTTGGTCAGTTCCTACCTAGAATATGTCTAGTTCTGTCAGCCCGTCGATGTAGTCTATACAAAAAGCACTAACCATGAATTCTAACACTTATTGTAAGGTTAAAGTAACAGAATCTTGCAAGCCTGAAAGCATTCTTCTCCTCTTTTACTTTCCAGAAAACCAGAAAGGATCTTTTCAAAGATGCTTCCCATGTCCCTTTTGCTTTCCTCAGCCAAGATACCTTTTGCATGAGTTGTCTAATCTGCAGCTCTTCTTCCTTTTTCCAAGGTTGTTCCCACAGACCATTACAAATTCTGAGCAATACATTTAGGAAGGACATTTACAAATTGAAATTTATCCAAAAGATAGCAACCAAGATGATAGGAAGAATACAATGAAAAAATTGGAGTGTTTGAAGGCACTACATATTTTTCAAGAATGGACTGAGACACATATGATAGCCATTTTCATATATCTTAAGATCAGACAGAAGATGGGGCAGATTCATTCTGAGCTGTTCCACAAAGCAGGAGAAGGCTTTGTTGACCTTCCTGAAGGCTGTGAAAACCTTGGCTTCTCTCTCAGGGCTTTGCCTAGAATCTTAATGGAACTGTTTGTGTAAAACACATTGGTAAGGTATTATTTGTTTTACAGAAGTCTCAATTTGGTTATTTTAAGTTGTACGTTGTTTTATTTTGTTCACTGCTCAGAATTCCTTTTGATGGGTAGCAATATATTATATATTTATTAAATGATACATTAAGAAAAATGGAATTAAATTAGAAGTCAATTTCAGTGTGACATCAGAAAAATATGCTAATTGTATGAACTTCAGAGGAATAGATTGCCTCCTGAGAAATGGTGGACTCTCCTTTGTTGAAATATTTAAACAGATGTTGAATGACCATTGTCACGGCTACTGTAATAAGGGATTCTTGCAGATTTAACTGAATTTTCTCCATAGCATTTTCCCAACCTTACATTCAGTGATTCTATGAAATATAAATTGTTAAAACTGAAATATTTATATTTGACCAATTATTTTATAGAATGACTAATTACTAAGAATATATTTGGTTTGGAAACTGATAATGATCTGACAGTTATAGTACTGAAATTTTGTTTTCTGTGTATGCAATTCAAAGACAGAAATTAGGAACATTCATTTGTAAGGGTTTTCTTGATATTTTGCTCATTTCCACATATAATGAAGATTATAATTATTCTGAGGCAAAACAGTGAGGTTTAATTTCCATCTTTGAACATACTTTCTCACTAAATATCAGACAGTACGGATAAACAAAATATCAACTCTCATTTTGTATTGCTTCCAAATTCTCCATGGAGATAAAACCAAACCAAAATAGAAAAGTCATCATATAATTAAATTATGAACTAGCGGAGCATGACATAAAAGTTAGATCACATCCTGACTTTAAAAAAGATTGCACCAAAAGTCCACCATTTTCTTGTTTGTTTTTTCACATTTCAAGAAAAATACAAAAATAAACTGAAGGGAAGGATATGGGAAAGAAGAAAGAAAGGAACAGTGGATGTATATAATCAAAATCACATGAATAGCATTATTCCAGATTGAGGTGGTGAAGAGGTTTTGAAGAGTCTGTTGCTATGGATCCAAGAGAAACAGTAGTATCATCTACTATTCATTTGATTTTCAGCATACTTATCAAATTAGGCTTCTCTGTGTAATTTATTTTTAAAATGGTAGAATTGTCTTAGGTTCACTGAGAGAACAATAATGGAAATAGAGAAGAATCTTCTAATATTCTCTCTCGGTCATCCAAATGATCTCCCTAATGCAGGTTCATCTTTCTTTTAAGTAAGAAAAATTGGCTACTGGTTATAAAGGCAACCTTTAATACAAATTGTGGGCACTTCAGGTATTTTGATAATCAAGATTTCAAAAAAGAAACAACACAAAGAATTAATATACCTGACAATAATAGATTATGTTCAAATATAAGGCATTATTCTATTAACATGCTTCAATGACAGCCAACCTTCATGAAATTTAGATTATTTGTCAGCTCAGACTCTGAAAAATACAATTCCTTATTTTATGTCTGTAATTACACCTTCCAGCAGGTAATTTGGTTATCATATAAAAGTGCCTAGAAGTTTTAAACTACAGCAAACAATTTAAATTGTGACATTTTTATCCATTTCCTCATTGAGCTTATTTACGCATAAGATGATAATGTACAGGTATCAAAAATCAAATGACTAATTTTACTTTCCATTCCTAGAAATATAGCTTTCCAGAGAATGTGTGTGCCTTCTTCTCACATTTGTTTATATATTGTTGATAAACATTGCTATTTCAATACCAGCAAGCACACACAAGGTGTTTTTAGTGCTATGCCTTGATTAATAAATGCTTACACTTATCCCAGGAGACGTTATTTCCTGTACAACAGATAATTATTCTCAAGAGATCTTTCTTAATGAATTAAGGCTAGAAGTCTTAAAAACCAATCTCCTTTTAAAATGACCAGTTTGCTTTCTAACACCAGATCCATATAGAAACCATTAATATTGGATAAATAGGGGAGGGTAAAGACTCACCCAGACAGAGCTGGGCGACGTAGGCATAGTAAGACCAGGCCAGGACGCTGCAGATGAAGAGGACCGGCACCCAGTAAAGTAGAGGACCAGCACGCCGCCACAGGCAGTGTCGCCTCCCGCCTCCTATCCGAGAGCAGCTGCGGGAGGAAGCCACCGACCCCGCCGGAGACGCCATCTTCCCGCGTCCCATCTTCCCCTCCCCGGTTAATCAGCTTTTCCGTCTGCCAGGAGGGCCCGGGCCCTCGCCGCACATCCCCGCCGGCAGTGGCGGCGGCAGAAGAGGCTGGGTGGTTTCCAGCGGTTCGTCGCCTTCCCCTTCAGCGCCGTCTTCCTCGGGATGGGCGAAGGCTGCTCCTCCCCACGGTCGCCTTCAGCCACTGACCTCTCCTCCTTCCCACTCGGCCATCTGTCAGTCACTGAAGAGGGTTCAGCCGCCCATCCCTGAACCGGGACCGAGGAAAAGAGGGGGTGCGATTGAGGCCTCTCTCGCTAACGCCCCACGCTGCTCGCGTTGACGACTCGCAGGGCGAAGGGCGGGGAGAGGAAAGGCGAGGCTCCCCCCCCCCCCCCCCGCGTAGCATCCCAGCGAAGCAGGAGGCACGGGCTTTCAGGGTCCATCCATCCTGAGGCAAATTGCCTTAGGGACGAGGGAGTTGGTACTTCGTTGGAAAGGTGTATACAGGGATCGTGGGAAGGTGTCCACCTGCTGCAATTCCCGTTGTCCCTTCGTCCGCTATTCTGTCTTTTGGCAACCGTTAGGTGGTAAAATTTGCGCCAGTAAGCGTTTTGCTAATCTATATCAAAACCCTTAACGCAATCTTTGGGACTGTGTCTTCGGATGGGAAGTTGAGGAATAAAGTTATTGTTTTGGAATAACTGTCCACTTTGAATAAATATGACGAGGAGGACCTTTTCCTGCGGTGTAGCAATCTTGCAACCAAAAGGAAGAAATGTAAATGAAATCAAAATTTGTATACTGGTCACAGACCAGGCTAGAAGAAATTCATTTTGATAAATTAATTCTGGCAATATAACAAGAATATAATAATATGATAATAACAGCACAAACTCCCTTTGAAATTTAGATTTATAGGGTAAAATCAAGTCTTATCATCTAGATCTTTTAGATTGTAACCTGGTCTGTGCTTTACACTAAATTATATATTGCTGAATGAACTGTAAATGCCCAACACTTGGTTTGCAAATCACAGTAGCTCAATCCTCACCCAAAAAAAGCCAGTTTAATTGATAGGTTAATTCATTGTGTGAAGGAATGTTTTCATGCTGGCTATGTACCATTGAACAAAAATGCTATGGCTGGTTGCCATTATGACATGGCAGAGGTTTCACTGAAGTTTCACTTGTTTTTGAATTTGTAAAATCAAACCACGGTCATATTTAGATCAATTCCTATTGACTACATGAAAAGATTCATGTTGCTTTCTTGACAATAACATGGTTGCTGACCAGTAGCTTCTTCCAGGATTTCTTTTTGAACTTCACTTTGGTTTGGTTACATAGTTTTTCATACATGGTTTTTCCATTTTGGCTTTCTTTTTGTAAAATAAATGACATGGTGTAATATGTAATATGTTTTGATCATCTAAGGCAGAGATCTCCAACCTTTCTGGGTTTGCGGCCCAAAGGAGAGCAGCTTCCAAAATGGTGTGCGCACATGAACACACGCAAACGGCACCCGCACACATCCACCTGGCATTGGTCCCATTTATGCATGTGCAAATGAGCCGTGCACACCTGCCCAGCGCTAGTGACCCCATTTGCGCCTGTGCGCATGTGCAAATGGTCCTGCGGGTGCTAGCGGGAGTGGGGAGAATACATACGCACTCATGCACACATCGGCCAGCCATTTCCATGGCCCACTGGCCAAGAGGCCACAGCCCGGTAGTGGGCCGCGGTCCATAGGTTGGGGACCCCTGGTCTAAGGTTATTAGCCATTGTCTATCCACTGCAGATGAAGACCTCTTCCTCATGTTTCCAACCAATACGGTCCTGAGCTTTCTTTTGCCAATTGGGCCCGCAATACTTGCTGAGGTCATCAATCCATCTTGTTTTAGGCCTCTTTCATGGATGCTTTTTATCAAGTGGGATCCATTCTATGACTGCCTTGGTCCACCTGCCATCAGTTCTTGCTATTTGACCAGCACATTTCCATTCCAATTCTTTTACCCCCTTTATGTTATCGTATACTTGCGTTTGTTCTCTAATCCAGGTGCAGGTCTTTTTATCTTGTCTTGAAATACTGAGTATGTATCTTTCCATAGCTCTTTGTGCCACTTATAGCTTTTGTATCGATTATGAGGTTAGGGTCCAGGTTTAACCAGCATATTTTTAAGAACTGGTAAGGACCAAATTTTTTACTATGCCCTGATACATAAAACTATAGAACTTAAAGAGGGTGTACTTTCTTAGTACTCCATTTATCCTAAGTTCAGCATCTATTTTTATCTATACATATATCATCTCATTTCGACAAAGGATGTGGGGAAAAACACATTTGTCCACTCAGTTTAATTTTGCAACAGATCAGAGATTATCTACTATCTTTATATGAGAGTTGACATGTTATAAAAAGTTTCCATCCATTTCCTCATGTTTCTTAAACATACTCCAAAGGTGCACAAATTTATACATTTGTTCTATTTTTTGCCATTTATTTATTCTCCATGCCAAATGAAACTTTTTTCATTTTCACATCTATAGTTCTCACTGTATTGCGAATCTGTCATTCGCTGAAAATCATTCAAGTTCTCAGTCAATAATATGATGTCACTGGCATAAAAACACATCCTCTACCATCAGTGCAACCATTTCTCATGTTTATACTAAATAACCAAGAGGATACTTCATTTCTATTATTAACTACTCAGTGTTGAATTGTCCATTATTTTGGACACATACTTTATATACATCATATATTGCTGAATTCAAATTTAACAATCAACCTTTAGCATGTTTCATACTTCAGGCCTATGTACATTGTTGTATGTTTTGTCTAAGTAATCAAGTAAGCTTATTATATTCTTACATAAAATAACAGGACTGATAATGAAAACAATATCTGAATGAATTTTGCACTTTGTTCAGTTTTAATAACAGCCATGTAAAAATGCACATTTTGGGAAAAAAAATCAAATACATTTTTTCTGATATTTATTCACAGTGACCTTATTTCTAAAAGCAAGACATATCTCCCTTCTATTTGAAATATGGACAAGTATCCAGTTTGTCCTAAATCATCTTCTGTGTTGTTCCTAAAATTTGCTATTTTAAGGCTGACTCAGCTTTTCTGTTTTAAGTTTATTTTAAGAAATGTTTTTGTTAATTCAGTACGACACCATAAACTTAGTTATGTATCATCTAATTTGATTCCAATTAACCTATAAGAGGTTCTTAACAGAAGATAAAATCTTGTTTGATAAAAAATATTAATTTATCATTTTTCATACTGCTCTGTGCAGTCTGAAAAACTGTACCCTCCCCTATCTTACACATTTTTAAGAGACAGAGAAGTAGCAGAAGCATTTCCTCTTCATGTAGCAAAATGTTTAGATCAAGTCCAAAACAAACATCATTCCATGATTATGGTTTTTATTTTAATGAAATTAGTTGTTATGTAAGATTAAAACATGCATAAGGACATAGGTAATCTCTGACTTCTGGCTATCAGATAATATATAAATCCAGTCCTGGCTATCAGATAATATATAAATCCAGTGCTGCTCTGTTAGATTGGTTCACAGATTTATAGCATTATTCAAAAACTGGCAGGATAGAAGGCTATGTGATTCAATCAAGCTTATTTGTACATCTATTCATTTATAGGAACCAGTATTACAGTAGTGGAAATGTGGATATGCTCTGCCGGGTAACTGGTAAGAATCTAAACAAATCCTTGGATCACAACTGAAAAACTGTACTGCATTTATGTATTCAGGAGCTATAAGAAAATTGTAGCTCTTGATTATTTTAAAGAAAAAAAAATGATATGCTTGCAGTTTTCAATAATTTGAAACCTGATTTATCATTATTTTGCTATTTTAGGAAACTATGATATTTTAGTGTTTGATATAGCTAGAACCCTACTAAATTACAGTGAAAAAGCAGAAATGGGGAGAAATATTATCCTTCCAGCTTCAAGGCTTATTTGTGAGGCAAAGAAGCTATGGAGACAGTGCCTCACAGCTGTCCCCTATCACGCTCATTCTCGTATAGAGCTGTACTCTAAGCGAACTAATGTTATGTATTAATGGAAGCTATATTTATAATCCTTTTGCTTATATAAAAATATGAGATAAATGTTGTAGGTAAAAAAAATAGTAAAGTTTCGTGGCTGAATATGCTAGATATTTCTACAGGTATTGCATTCCTTTTACAGTTATGAAAACCAGATAAGTAGCAGCAGTTTAAAAAGCCACTGTATGTTTTATGTCAGTTACCCAAATTCTCTTCATTTACTGCCTCTAAAGTATTTTAGCAGATTGTCTAAAGAAAGCACAAAAAAGAATAGTTTGGAATCTAAACAGTGATTTTTGCTTTGGAAAAGGAGATCTTTGATGATTTCTCATACTATCACAATCTATGGTTTCAGAAGCCCTTATAGGAGCAGCAGTAGGGAGAAGATAGGGCAAGAGATCCATCTTGTAAATAGAATTCTGCTCACAGTTGTTAGTATCCAAGCTGTTTCATGAACAGCATACAATAAATAAATAAATATACATTTATTTTTGTATTATTATACATCATTATAAAATTTAAAATCAATATGCTTCGATCAATCTACAATGTTATAGTAAAGTGCTGGAGTAAAGCTACCATCTTTACATCAATTAAATTAAAGGACTTAATGCCAATAATGAAAAACATCAGAATTGAATTTAAAAATCCAACTTAAATAGTCTATAGATTTTTCATTAAAAAATCTTAGGTTCTTTCTATACTATAAGTCTTAATAATTCATAGTGATAGATAGCTTTACAGTTTTTATCCACACAATCAGATTTTGTTTAAAAATGAATCTCATTTTATATTTTTAATATATGTTTCTGTGATAACTCTAGATGGAAATATTTTCTCCTATATAACTGTAATTATTATAGGCACATTAATCAGCTTAAGAAATAAACTACAAAAATGGAATGGCATGAGAAAATAAACTACACTTGATTTTTAAAAATACATTTCTAAATGCACCTGTATTTTTATAGACTTCTGTGATCATTTAAATGAATTTAAATGAAACAATCTCACCCTGCTAAAAAAAAAAAATACTCCCAGGTAAATGTAGTGATGCTATTTGTGAAGTGTCTATCCCTGAAATGGGTTATGCATAAAGTTATTCGATTGCTCTACCCTTTCTGCACTGAAAAACTTTTAAAGCATTTTCATATGTAAATGCACACTCTTTTGTTTTTGATTTAAGGACTTACATTTCAATTTTCTCTACTAGCATGGGCTCAACATGACTGAAATATAATACTGGGGAAAAACATTAAATCATAATTCTACTCTGGTGGAAGGAAGTTGAATGTAAGTAAGAATCTGCAGATGACCACTTAAAAACTACACGAAACATTAAAAAATATACACATGAATCCCTTCCAGGAAAAGCAGATGAGCCATATTTTGAATCATATAGGTAGAGTGCTTTAAAAATTACAGTCCAGAATTTTGAGATCTTGTTTCATCTGAAAAATGTATGGTCTAATGGTCTATCCCTGATTTCTGTAGTCAGCTTGCAAAAGAAAAAGTAGAGGTGATTTGGCATTCACCTTAGGATATTTCAGTTCAGAAAGTGCTTCCGAAGCTTTACAAGTGCTTGCCTATTACAGTCATCATGCAAACACCATAGTTCTTCAACTCATATGCGAAGTCTTTCTGTTAGGGAATCAAAACATAATTAACAGTGACATAATACATAATAAGTTACTGTACATAACTGTACATAGTAACTACATAATAGTTACTGTATGTGCAAATAGGATGAAAAACTAAGAATTCTAAATTGGTCCCCAACCTCAGGCTGTGTCAGTGTTGGGCCGGCACACACACGTGTGCATTTCAATTTACATGAATGGCAGGCTGGTGCGCACTCGCACATGCGTGCAACTCAACTTGAACTGTATGCATGTGTGCACTGGCTCGATGCTCGTGTGAGTTGAGCTGTGTGTGTGCACCAGCCCGACACTCACACAGCCTGCTTCCCCTCTCCCCGCAGCTGGGCTGCCAAGCTGCAAAGGTTGGGGACTGTTGTTCTAAATAATTTGTAAGAAATTACAATCCTTGTGTAAATCAAACAAAAATAGAGTGATTATCTCTATCCAGGTCAGTTAAATTGCATTCTAATTACTATTATTTTTTTAATCTTTCAATTTTTACCCTCAATAGAATCCTTCACAGCCAATTTAATAATTATACATTCCTTGCCCTACTATAGATGGCTATTTTTTACCACTCAAGTAATATTAAAAAATCTGTTTTACCCTTACGAAGCAAATACTTTTAACTCCTTGCCTCACTTGCTTGGTCCAGCAATTAGATACATTTTCAGGAGATCAGCACTGTCACAAAGTTTTGCATGATGAAATATATAAAACTACTATTGTCAACTTTAGAATGAGCATGGTTGCAGCCATCTTTTTCCTTCTCATTCCTAGTTGCCACATAGCATGAAGGGAGGGGAGTTGCCAGGTGTTGCGCTAGACAAAACAGACTTTCTTGGATTTTCTCTCATGGGAACCAAGGTCATCGGGCGCTCCCGAGACTGCAGGCTGGGCGTTTCATGAAAAGCCTGCCAACAAGGTGAGTGGGGAAACGTAGTTGCTTGCATAGTTTTGGGGTGGGATTTTTTTAACTTTGTGTGGGGAATTGTTGTGCATCTCTTCAGACTTGGTTTCATTTTTGAAGTACTGATACTCTGTATCAATAAACATGTTATTTGAGGAATCTGCAAGCCTCGGAGTTCTGCTTTATTTGTCTCTGTTGATTGGATATTTTTAAAACAAGATTGAAAATAAATAAGCTATAATCTTATCATAGAATTACAGAAGGAAGGAAACTCGTTAGGTCTATTCCCTGACCACTGCAGGTATCCATAATGCATCATCCACAGAAAAGCTGGCCATGCAAATAGTTCAAGCACCTTCAGTGTAAGAAACAAATTTTGTGAGATCTGATATCAAAAACACAGAGATTTTGTGATTTGGCTGTGGCCATTCTGTTGTGTAGTATGAAGGTCATTTGGCAGTCTCTGAAGATGTGGTTTGTTGCCAACCTCACTCATTATGTGGATAGCATAACATTTTGCTTGTTTACAATACTGTATGGAAAATACTCTACTTATTTCACAATTTGTTCCTGACTGCTCTATGTATAACACGAAGAGTGTCGGCTGAGTCTGCTAACCTGCATACTGCATCTCCCTTTAATTCTGTATTTCCCTTTCACTGGATTTCTTAAATAAAAAGCACTAAATAAAATAGCTCTTATGAATTAATGCTATAAAACCATTGTTAGTGTCCCACAGAAGCTGAAAAATAATGTTTTCCAAATTTAGAATATGCATGGGATATAGATTAATTATGGCAGTATCTAATGGTTGTTTATATAGTTTCTGAACTAAATGTACGACATGTTCTTTTATATAGTATAATTATAAAAAAGTAGGCGAAAATAGAGATGCTAGTCTGTATTGATATATTGGTGGTGAAGGTACTATTTTCTTGTAATGAACATAAGGTACTGTAGATAATAAAAAGATAATAAAATAATGGCAATTTGAATATGGCAATAATTTGAAGTTTATTACATTATTTGGGAATTTCCTTTGCAAAATTTTTGAGGGAAAAATAGCAAAAAAATGTTAGTTTCAGAAGAATGTAACTAAATAATTTGTTGTTGTTGATACATCTATTAAACTATTAAAAATTACGATCATGAGAAAGAATGCAGCTTTTGTGAATCGTGATGAATTCTCAAGTGCAGGAAGCCCGACATGTAATCATTGTTTATCTTTGGTATGTTTCTATCAGCATATGGAAATTGCACAAGTGACAGCATTCACATCTCTAAAGTGGCTGGCTCTAACTAATAAAGTTAATTTCACTTGTCAATTGAAAAGTAAGTTGAGAATAGTGAACTCTTCCTGTCAGCAATCTTAGAAATACTGCCCAAGAACACAACAACTACAGAAAAACATACCATTGTCTGCTGTTGAGTTCCTTCTTCACACAGGATTTGAAAGTGGTATATTTCTGTATGCTTTTGTAACCCTAAAAGCAAAAGACAAAGAAATATGCATGGAAGGGTAGCATGCAAAATCAGTCACAAGTGAGCATTAGGAAAACAGTGGCATGAAAAAATGCCATTTATTAGTTATAACAAAACAGTAAATTTGTTGTAGAATTTAATACTCATACAACTATAATGCAACTACGCATGAGATTCCTATATAAAGAAAAAGGATAGTTTGGCAAAATGTTTACACTAAAATCTTCATTTAAGATGGAAGCTTTGTGCTTTATAAAGAAAGATATAAAATTGCTATCTCAAGGCAAGAAAGAATGTACTTGTCTCAGGTAATTTAATACTATATTTTTGGCCAATTCATTGATACAACACAAGGTGGCAGTAGAACATATTGGACAGAATGAAAGATGTGGTCTTCAAATTAACTTATAAAGCAATTAATACATGTGCAAGGGAAACAATGTTTATTCAGAATTAGGAAATAGGGTGTGTGCATGCATGTGTGCATTTAGAATCATACTACAACAATGTTCTAAATGTCTATTAGCACAAATAATATAGCATCTTCACAATATTGTGACAAAATATTTACAATAGAAGTAATAAAATAAATTTTGTCACCAAGTTCAAAGGCTATGAGATTTTATCAATATATATATAGGAGTATTAACTAAATTTGAACAATCAGTTGTAAGTATGTTAGGCAGGACGTGTGTTCAAAAATGGCAGATTGTGTCACAGCATTATTTTATTATTTTTTATTTATTCATTATTTTATTTATTTTTATTTTATTATTTCATTATTTTAATGAAAATGATAGATCATGTGAACACGCATGTGGAACACTGTGGGGACCTTGTAACTAATTTTAAGAGCTACATAGTTTCAAATTCCTCCAGAGATATTTCCCTCCCTTCTAGGGGAGCAAGTGAATAAACGATTCAGAGATCCAGTAAAAAGCAGAAAATCAGACTAAATAATTGTGAGAAAAATGGATGAAAGTTTCAGTTGTTTGGTTCAAACAGCTGCATGGCCCAGTCAATTTCTAAGACATATATTTAAATTGTTGCTGGTTTTGACTTGTTAATCTAAAATGTTTATTCTATAAAATGTATTAGTCTTTTTAAAGAAATATCAGAGTTTCCTGAGGTTTTGAAAAATCTTTCAAGTCTGAGCTAATTTAAATTTGCAAATTAAATAGAAAATTACACAAGATCTGCAGATTTATTGTATAATTCATTTGTGACAAAATTATAAAGTAACTGTCCTAATGAATTTCCATTAGGACTATTAACTAGTTTAATTTTATAAAAGCATTTCATATGTATATACAGGTAGTCCTTGACTTCAACAGTTCCATTTTGTGACCATTCGAAATTATGACACTGAAAAAAGTGACTTATGACAGTTTTTCACACTTATGACCGTTGCAGCATTTTCATGATCACATGCTTAAAATTCAGACACTTGGCAACTGATTCATATTTATGACAGTTGCAGTGATGTGATCACCTTTTGCAACAAGCAAAGTCAATGGGGAAGCCAGATTCACTTAACAATTGTGTTACTAACTTAAAAACTGCAGTAATTCACTTAACAATTGTGGCAAGAAAGGTCATAAAATGGGACAAAACTCACTTAACAAATATCTCACTTAGCAGTATAAATTTTGGGCTCAATTGTGGTTGAGGACTGCCTGTACTGTATATAAAGTATAACGGCAAAATTAAAATTGCTAAATAAAAAACTGAAAATCAACTTGATTCTCCTTGCAGTTTAAGCAAGGAGAAGAAACAAACATCCAGTCCTCTATATTAGTGGTTGGATAGAACTAGAGCATACGTGATTAATAGTTTTAACTTCAACAAAAGGATAATTTTGAAATGGCTGTGGAAACAGTGATATCGTTTTAAAGCTGATGATGTAATAAACATTATTAAGCAATAATTTAGATTCTTACTCTGAATCCTCGATGCAATCTGTCTTTCATAATACCAATAAATTCTTTGTAACTCAGTTGATCATCCTTATCTACATCAAAGATCTTGAAAACTGTATTCACTAAATGAGATGAAAGCTTCAAACTAGTAGCCACATACACTGCACGCTTGAACTCATCTAAGGAAACAAAGCAAATTAGTGTGCTGAACAAAACTACTTGATGGCTTGACAATGGCATTACATGATAAATATACAAAAATTTAACTTCTATTGTACATAAGGTGATAATGTTAATCAGAGATCCGGGGAGAAATAAAACTCTTTTTTTCTTATCCTCAGTTTCTAGCTTTTCCTGAAATTTTGCTCCTATTTTTAAAACTATCCAAGTTTCTGTATACTATCAAATCAATACAGAGTCACAGGAGTTTACATAATAATTGACAAAGAGATACATACTGATATTCCACAAGACCCAAACAGCAGCTGAGAAACAGTGTCTCCTGGCCTCTAGTTTGTTTACTTCATGGTGATGGGTTCAACCAAAAGCTTCTCTCAGAAAGTACACAATGGGTAGGCCAGGAACTGGACCATATGGTCACGTACAACATCAGTTTATCCCAGGTCCCCACTCTTTTGGTGATATAGAGTTGTTTTAAAAACTAGAAATTCTGAATGCCAGAATACTCTAATGCAGCTTCCACAGCAGGCATGTTAAACTCGCGACGTCACGTGACGTCGTGCAACGTATTGGGCTGGTTTTCCCATTGCCGGCAATGGGATGAGCGCGGCGTCCACGTGACGCGTCCGGCCTGCGGGCCGGCAGTTTGACACCCCTGTTCTACAGTACTTATCCCAGCAGCATGCTGCCACTGGGATGGAGAGCTTGTTGCAAGAGTATGTGCTCAATAAGTGATAAGTGAGCCATCTTAGAATAAAAGCAAACAGGCTCTATAAATAAATTTGTAGTAGCCTAGATCAGTTTTATATAATGGTTTACAAATTGCAACAGTTTGGTTACGGTTCATTAGGCCAAAACCAAAGCAACAAACTCATATTTTGGTTTAGCTTCCTGAATAAACCCAGCCAGTCTACTCACCCTAACAGTCAGTCTTTCCAGGTAGACTGGACATGAAAACAGAGCAGATGAGCTAATTCTACTTCATTATGAGGCTACATTTACAGAATCTTGTTTGAAAGTACAAATGTCCTGCTGTCTCTTTTTACAATCTGGTCAGTTAGAATTTCTCTCCCCGTCCCCTTTTATCTGATCATTCCATAAGGAAGCATCTCTTCTTCACATCTCTCAAGGTCGCTTGAGGTCATTCCCACATTATAGAAGTAAAAAAATAGAATTCAATTTGAATAAATGCTAGTTTTGATGCAAAAATACTTATTTTTCTTTTCAAATTTTAATATTTAGTTTCATTCACAATTCTGTAATTATATTAGTGATACTTTAAATGTGCACTTAGCAACATTTCAGTCATTTTAATCACTTTTTATTGGACATAAGGGATATTTAAATGTATTATTTTGGTTTTATTAATTTTATATTAATTAATACTGTTTTAGATAAATTGTTGTAGAATCACTAGCTAAGGAGTTTTCTTTTCTCTTAAGAAAATGGATGAATTCTTTTCTTCAAATCAGTTTAATTTAGCATAAACAATTTGCTATGCAATGTAATTATAATAGAATTATAATATTATAATAGGATAGAATATTATGTATAATTATATTAAAATAGAATTATAATATAACAATTAATCAGTGGAACAACTTATCTCCAGAAGTTGTGATGCTCCATCATTAAGAAGAGATTTGACAACCATTTGTCTGAAATGGTATAGAGCAGTGGTGGCGAACCTATGGCACGCATGCCAGAGGCGGCACTCAGAGCCCTATCTGCGGGCACGCGTGCCATGCCCCAGAGATGGCAACCGTCCCTCTTCAACCAGCCGCCCACTAACCACACCCACCTTGGCTATACCCACCCAATCTGCCATGACCACCACAGCCATGACCACCACAGCCATGCCCACCCAGTGGGCCACGCCCACCAGGCACCTGACGATAAATAAGTGGATTTTGGATTGCAGTTTGGGCACTCAGTCTCTAAAAGGTTCACCAACACTGGTATAGAGTTTCTTGCTTGATCAAGGCTTGGACTAGAAAATCTCCAAGGTCCCTTCCAACTCTGTTATTCTGCTATTCTGTAATTCCAAGTTAGTTACTAACAACTGCAAAATATTTTAGCTTTAATTCTTGATAGTATAGTACTCTAATACATTTTAAGATCAGATGTTACCCATCAATAATTTGTTGTATGAAAGCGCTAGTAGGAAAGAACCTAATATTTTTTGTAGCTTTTAAACAGAGATTTAGCCTGCAATTAATCATAATTTCTCCGATTTATTTACTAAACAAGATAGATTCACAATAGTTACTTCCCATTTAAATAATTTGTCACATTTTTATTTAAAAACACATCATTATTTTACTGTTATGTTTAACCTTTACTTAAATTGTGCAAATTCCCAATTTTTAATTTTGCTTTCTAATTTATCTATGCTAAAAACTTCTATTTGTTAAAATTTTTCACCAATGGTTACTATTACCATATTAATAATATGGACCAAATAAATCTTTGCCAAATTTTTATTACATGTACACATACTCACACACACACACACAAACACACACACAAACAGAAAACATTTAAAAATGAATATCATTTTTTTCATGGATATAGAATCTAGTTTTTGAATTTGAATAAAATATATCATTTTATAAAAACTGGTCCAAAATTATAAAAAAAAATACTGTAAGTTGCCTTCATATCTACAAATTTCATAAATTTATGATTATAGTTGAATGTTATCTTACCTAAATAGTCTTAGGCAAAAATTATTGAAATCTTGACTACACACATACCAAAATGCAAGGGGAAATGTACAAATGTAAGACTTGATGTGAATCACCTCAGTATACTTAATCATGTTTTTTGTTGTATTACAATATGGTCATTTAACTTTGGAGGAATTAGGTCTATTTAATTCTATGCAAAGAACATTCATGTGCAGAAAAATCAATTAAGAAAAGTCAACCGCTTTTATATTGAATATATTTTAGAATAGAATAGAGCTGGAAGGGACCTTGGAGGTCTTCTGATCCAGTCCCCTGCTTGAGCAGGACAACCTATACCACAAACAAGTGACTGTCTAGTCTCTTCTTAAAGACTTTCAGTGATGAAGCACCCACAATTTCTGAAGACAAGCTGTTCCACTGGTTAACTGTCCTCACTGTTAGGAAGTTTCTCCTTAATTCCAGGTTGCTTCTCTCTTTGGTCAGTTTCCAACCATTGTTTCTTGTCTTTCCCTCTGGTACTTTGGAGAATAGTTTGACGCTCTCTTCTTTGTGGCAGCCCCTCAAATACAGGAATGCTGCTATCATGTCACCCGTTTCTTCTTTTCTTTAGACTAGCCAAACCCAAGTCCTGCAGCTGTTCTTCAGATCTTTTAGTCTCCAGGCCTTTGATCATTTTAGTTACTCTTCTCTTAACTTTTTCCAAGGTCTCAACATCTTTTTTGTAGTATGGTGACCAAAATTAGTTGCAGTATTCCAGGTGTGGTCTTACTAGGATTTTATAAAGCGGTACTAATACTTTGCATGATCTTGATTCTGTGCTTCTGTTTATACAACCCAGGATTGTATTAGGTTTTTTGGCTGCTGCTGCACACTGCTGACTCATTGTCAAGTGATCGTCCACTAGGACTCCAAGGTCCCTCTCACAGTTGCTGTTTTTGAGCCAGGTCTCACCTAATCTGGACTTAAACCTTTGATTTTTCTTGCCAAAATGTAAAACTTTGCTTTTCTCCATTTATTATTATTTATATATAATATAATATATAACAAAATATTAGCAGAAAACACGCAATATTTCTTATTTATTTTGGAAAGGTAAGATATTAGAAGGAGAGAGTTACTTTTAACATTACATGAGAATTCAGGCTCTATTTTTAATGAAACATTTGATGCAGAAATGTGAAAGGACAGCTACATAAAAAATATGAATTTCTCTTCTATTGTTTGATTCAAGATACTGGTTATTGCCTGTAATGCCCTACATGGCATAGGACTTGGTTGCTTGAGGACCTGTGTCCTGTTTCTCATAATATCTCCTTGGACAATTTGATTTTGCAAGATTTATATCTATTAGGACTTGGGAAACGCACCTTCTCTGTGGCAGTCCCTGCCCTTTGGAATGAGGTTTCCTCTGAGCCCTGAATGGTGCCTACTCTGCTGTTATTTAGAAGGGTCTTGAAGACCTGTCTCATTGTCCAAACCTTTGGCAGGAAAATATGAAGACCCTTTGATTTGTTCTTGTACAGTCTTTCACTCTTGCTATCTTTTTATTTTAATTGGGTACTACTGTATTTTCCTTGTTTTAGTTTAATTTAGTTGTAAACTGCCCAGAGTCATTGGAGTTGGGTAGCACACAAATGTGATAAATAAGAAAAATAAATAAACAAAAAGCACATCATCTTGAAATTAGATAGTCTTACCTTGTCCTATTGAACGATTTGCAAAATTGTACATTTGCATTGCAATTGCAAAATCTTCTAGATTGTTCAAAAACTGGAAAAAGGATCTAAATTCATCAAATGTAATGCCCTATGAAATAAAGTAATGTTGAATTAGAACCAAGATGATAGTTGCTATAATGCCTTCTTAGTCTTGCAAAAGGCTTGCAGTAAAAATGAAGCAGGCAATTTAGCTTCCTTTACTTATTAGAACACTGCTTCATTGCTGTCTCAGAAAAACTATGGTAGCAATAAAACAATTCCTCTGTATTTGTCTTTTTAAAATATATTAAATATTTTAAAATATTTAATAATGTTTATCTGTCATTATACATAATGTACATATAAATATTCTATATAATACAAATATAAACAATATATATTTAAAGCTTTCAAGCAGTAAGAGCATAATTTATAGAAAGTTAAGGAAGCCCGTGTATTTAATAATATTTAAGTTGCTGTTTTCATTTGCTTCAGAAATAATAGATTCAGCTAAATTAAAGTTTATTATGCTGTCTAATTATTCACTGGCATGGATCAATGCCAACAAAATATATTATCTGTATGTTATTTTTAATACAGTAATAACAAGGGTTTTATGACTGGCTATGGCTTATTAAAAGTTAATAAGAATATAACAAGGGAATATATATAATACCCTGCTGTAAAATGATTTGGAAGAGACCTTTCTGTACCATGTAAAATACTGAGACTCATTAACCTAACTTCTATATGTTCTATCGATATAGGCTTTTCAGAATAATTTCTGTCTAACACTGCCAATTCAATTCTAAGATAGGGATTATCTCCTGGATATGTGATGGCAATTGATTAGCAGAATTAAGAGAAAACATTTAAATCTGAATCACTGTTCTCTATTTCTTCAGCCTATGTGTTCTGTATCCTATTTTGTTCACCTACTGGAATCCCACAGGCTAACTGTAGATAAAACAAAATAAAACAATAGCGTTAGTTAGATCATTGATGGGATTAAAATGCATCGGGTTTTACAAACTGTATAGCAAGATTTGGTCATGTTCATAGAATTGTACAGATCTGTTAAAAATAGCTGGCCACACGCTCTTTTACACAATATGCCAATTTTGAATGCATGCTGCTAGGACAGAATGGCCAGGCCAGGACTATCCATCACTCTGCTTACCAGCATCCTTTCCTGAATTAGTTGGGTAATCTTTGTGATATCTTATTGTTTAACATCTATGCTGAGGTTGCCTAATCAGGGGCAGTTACAGAGTTCATATGTATTACAACAACAGTAAATTTGGTCTAGTGATTAAGGCACCAGATTTAATACAATCCAATTGTGGGGAAAATGGAGGAAGGAATGTTATATACTGTATATTTGCTGCCTTGAGATATTTATAAAACTAAAGGTAGGATAAAAATAATGTAAACAACAATTGATCTATGCCAGTAAACATTTAATCTCACATACAGAGCAGGACAGACTGTTCTCTGGATAGAAATATGAGATTTAAATTAAACAGCAATAATATACTGCAAACCATCCTTTCAGGGGAATGGAAGTCTTCACAATCTGTTGATGTGGCATCTCCTGTTTTCTGAGTTATCACTGCTGAAGTTTTATCTTGCTGAGGCAAAGCAAAGACACATTACCAGCCCTCTGATTCCTTGGAGGAAGTAGAAAAATCTATGAATGTTCTGTCTCCTTTATTCCTATAATTAGCACCTGCTTATTTATATTTTCTTTCAGTGTCTCATTAATGTCTGTTCTTAGTATTAAGTTGCCTTCTGTGAGATATGTGGCAAATAAATTAAATAAATAAATAAATAAATAAATAGTATGCCTTAATTTAGTTGCAAGTGAAATATCTATGTAAGAGTAACTAAATGTTTTAGCTTCTATTAACTGCTGAATAGCTTCAGTATTTTAGCTTCTATTAACTGCTGAATATGACCAGTTTGTTTAGCAGTTAAGGCATCAGAGTAGAAACCAGCAGACTGTCAATTCATCCTGCCTTGTGCATGAAGCCAGTGGGCTGACCTTGGGCCAGTCACTTTCTCTCAGCCCTAAGATGGAGGCAATGGCAAACTACTTTGGAAAAATCTTGTCAAGAAAACTGCAGGAGCTTGTCCATGCAGTCTGTGAGAAACAGACATGACTGATTGGAATTTTAAAAATTGCTAAATGTTAGCTGTTTTTTTCCCTCTTAGCTCACCTAACCAAAAGTGAAGTATATTGAAAAGTATAGTATTTAAAAAGAAATCCAACTGTTTACAAGTGATTCACAAATAGTTAAACCTGTTCCTTCTACAAATAAGAATTATGCTAAAAATATCCCATGTAAGAAAGGCTTCCTTTAATATCAACAATGATAAATTCTGCTTCCACTAGATTGCTATATTATTGAAATATGTTCCTGACAACACTTTTTTCTCCCAATATTTTGATTTTCTATTTATTTATTTACTTATATAACAACACAAGTTAGACATTGAAAAACCGCTGAACTCAGTGCTGGCTTACTACAAATTAATTCATGTTAAGATGTGAACTGAGGGTCAGTTTGCTATAGTGGTTAAGGTGCTGGCCTAGAAATCTCAGACTGTGAGTTCTAGTCCTGCCTTAGACATGAAAGCCTGCTGCTAACCAGATTTTTGTGGGAAAAACAGGATGCAGGAGTATTAAGTCTGTTTACTGCCTTGAATTATATAAAAGCAGGAAGAAAAAAATCCTAAAAAAAAATTGTTTTCTCCCTTTGATAAATTCTGTTTAGCCAAGAATAATACCAACAACATTTATTATTATATTTTTATTCCACCATTTATATATATATAAAACTCAGGGCAGCAAAAATGTCTAAAACTCCTGCCTCCTATTTTCCCCACAACAACAATCCTGTGAGGTGAGTTGGGCTGAGAGTGACTGGCCCAAAGTCACCAAGCCATTTTTCAAGCCTAAGGCAGGCCTAGAACAGTCTCCTAGTTTCTAGGCCAGCACCATAACCACTACACCAAACTGGCTTTCAGCAATCAGCATGATGAATTGCTCAATTTCATTGCTCATTTTTTATGGATGCATATTCTACTTGATTTTGTAATTTGATAGAACTTGAATTTGATTATAATAATAATCAAATAATCATTTTACTAAATGATAAAATATAAATCATGTGGGTATGTCTATTTTAGCATAGAGTTTGTAAAGAAAAATAATTGAGTAACAATTAGCTGAAATTGGAGTTCCATTAAAATCTGATACATAAAAATTATATATGGTGACAGAAAACATTATTGCCAATGTTTAATCTAAAGGCATTTCATTGACATTGGTGATGATGTAATAATTATAGTAAGAGGATTTTTTTTTCTGTCATCATGTTAAAAGATTCATCTGTAGAATTTTTATTCATTATAAAAGGCACTGGAGTCATTTCATGGAGAATTACACAAACGTAATTCTGGAATTTTGTACATTTTTTTAAAAAAAGTATTTCAATGTAAACTATTTCCCCTCCTCTCCTCTCCCACAGGATTGTATCAGCACTATATGCATCTTCAGTCTTGGGCTATGAATGAATTGTAGCTTTCACATTTAAGCATATCTATCTGGAAATGAATAATTTAGAAAAAGTTTACTTTTTCAGTTAATAATTACCGTAACAAGATTGAGATGCTAAAAAGAATATGGCTATGAAAGTTCTGCAGACACCTGGAGCTCTTATTGGAAATCTTACTTGTTCTTCTGGGATACTGCAGCGCACATTTTCCAGATAGCTTGAGGTATTCTCCACATTTGTATATCTTAACAGTATATGAGCAAAGTCTTCCTCACTGATGGTGGTCATTCCATTAGAATAGGAAAGGAATTCTATCTCAAGAACTTCAGTTTGGAGGTTGTCCATAAACCTAGTTTATGAAAACAGTGATATCAGAGTCTGAAAGATTATGGGGTAGGTAGGGGAGTAATAGCAAATATCTCTAATGTTTAAATTTTGCTGCAGAATATTTCCTACTATTAATTCAGAGACTAAAAAACTGGCAACAATATATCCAGCTATGATATTTTTCAAACACCAAATCACCAAAATAAAAAAATAAAACAACATACTTAAAAAAGTATTTTCCTTTAAACAATGCCTGAAGGATCTAGATTTGTAAATATGTTGTAGGAAATCAAGTTGCTTGTATTCAATTGCTCATTCTCATTTTCTCTATGAATAATTCATATGATTAATTTATCTGCTAAAATCTAACACCCATATTCCTCTTAGCATTGCTATAATTATTTGAATTTTTTTTTTTAAAAAAATGTCTATTAAATAGCCTGTTTACTTTGGCTTTTCTGCAATTCATGGTAAATTGTCTTTTTTGCTGCATTAGCAGCAAGTTCATCCAAGTAGATGTTTTTTCTTTTTATGTAAGATCAGAAAAATACCTTCCAAAAATATAAGACATACATGAAAATGTGATGTATATTCAGAGTATAAAATAAAGTCACCTGTAAAAATCTTCGAAGTTAAGCTCAGCCTTTCCTTTCTTTCCAAAAAAGTGTATCAGCAACGTAGTATCAGAGTGTAAACTGGTAAAGTCATCTGCACGCTTAAAAAAACATTAGCAGTTGATAATAGATTCAATGCATAATTTTAGAAACAAAAATAACTCAAAATATTAACAATGCATTTTATTTAAAATATCATTAAATCATTCATCAAACTAATACATATTTTGCAAAATCAGTTAGTAATTAATTTATTTTATATAGTTAGTAATTAATATATTAATGTCACTTGGAAAGTGAGATGGGCAGTGTCTAAATTTGATAAATAAATAAAAATTAATCTTGCTCACAGATCACATAAATAATCTATTAATGTCTTAATTCAACAAACATAAAATACTGATGTAAGGATATATCAGTGATAGTTAAAAACAGTCTGAAATTGGATGAAATGAATTACAGAAATTAAACAAGATGTTTTATATTTTAGCTAAATTATGCTAAAAAAGACAAATAATGATTTTTAAATTGCTTCTTTAATATAAAAAATGAAAAATGAATTTATTGGGGGAAATAAACTTATTAGATACTTATCAGATTTTGCCCCTAAGATTCTAACTGCGTCTCAGAAAAATCTATACATCTGAAAATGTCAAGATTTCTACTACTTATGTGGAAAAGCCTCAAATATGAATGCAGTTTGGGATTACAAGAAACTGCTTTATAGATTAAAATATAAATTCACAATTTCTGATTTAAATTTACTATTTAAAATTTTGGTAGTAAATCAGGTACGGATTTTTCATATCTGATTAATTAATTTTCAGTTTCATAAGAGACAGAATCCAGATATAGTTATTTGGTAGAAAAATGCAGTTCTTGTTTGTAGTAGAGTACTTTGCATTATTTCTGGGGTGGGGGAGAGAGCAGAGTAATATTTTTTCTCTTAGAACTTGCATTTCTATGACAGGCTTGGCTGAGGTCATCAGGAGCACTGCTATGCAAGAACAGGATCACTCCATGCAAGACTTATTGAGCAGCCCATATCCTTTACAAGCTGTACGGGGTTCTTATTTATCAACTGGGACTGAATTATTTAGTTTTCTTTTCTTTCTCCCATCTTCTTTTCCTTTCTCATATCATTTTTGCATTGTCAAGGCTATGTTAAAAATACAAATTTATTATTATTTGTTACAGATGCTTTTTCCAGTAGAAGGAGAAACCTCTTTTCAAACCATTAAAGTATTTATATTGTTATCCAGGTTTGTATTGCTTCTCCAGAAGCTGCTCCTGACTGTTTATATATGTGGAAAAGTTTCCAATTTTTTTAAATTTAGCTCGGATGAAGCTTTATTATCAGGTATTTCATAGAAGATTATCAATTTAGGCCAATATCCAAGAATCTGTAACCCTAATTCAGATGGAGGTTTTCAGGAGGAGGCTTCCAAACCTTCAAATGTAAAGTCCAATTCTAAGCATATGGGAAAAATATTTATGATTATGGATTTTTTAATGTCACAGAGTAAATAAGCATCAAATATTTCTGGTGTACAAGACACAATATTAATTCTGTCATTGTGAAGATTAAATACTATAGCTTAGGACTTTTCAACCTTTTTCACCCATTGTACCACTTTTAGGATATGGCAATATCCGAGTACCACCAGTCGCCTAGCAAGGTGTCAAAAACTTGATGACCAAAAAAAAAAAGAGAAAAAAAAGGAAAAAGTGATAAAGTACAGGTAGTCCTCAACTTACAACATTTTGCTTAGTGACTGTTCGAAGTTACAATGGCACTGAAAAAAGTGCCCCCCAAGCCACAGCCGAGCAAGACACCTGCCTGCCCACCCAGCGGCACTCTTCCTCCTGTTCAAGGTTTTCATTGTTGTGACCATTTCTGTTGGGGATTGGCAGCGGAGATGGGGTGGGGGGTATTTGCTTTTTATTCCCCCCATCTGCTGGGTGGTTGCAGCAGGTTTTGGTCACTTCACATGACCCTGGGACACTGTGACCATAATAAATATGAATCAGTTGCCAAGCATTTGAATGTAAATCACAAGACCCTGGAGATGCTGCAACATTCCAGCTGATCAGCACTTCTTCTGGGCTCAGCAGAAATGCCAGGATCAGCGCCAAGCTCCAGCTGGAGCCTGGTGCTGATCCTGGTGCTTCCGCTGAGCTCTGACAGCCCTGCAGCTCCAGCCATCTCTCGCTCGGGCTTGTGCAGTGCTGCCACCGGTTCAGCTCATTCCCCTCCCCCGCTACCACTTTTCTAGGATGGTCGCGTACCACCTGCCAGGTGCCAATGTACCACAGGTGGTACCCGTACCACTGGTTGAAAAGCCCTGCTATAGCTCAAAAGACTAACACTCTGAATTCAATGATAAATGCTTAATACATACAGGTACCAAAGAAATGCCAAAGGGCAAATAAAAAAAGCCTAAAGGAAGACAAAAATATTTTTAAAGAATATTTACAGTGAGGAAAAACAATAAAATTGCATGGGAAGCAATGAAAAACAATAAAATTGCATGGGAAGCAATGAAAGACATGTTTGGGCCATACAGAGGTTTTATTATACCTCTGCAAGGTCTGAAAAGAGTGCCTGACTTGTGCTACGTCTCAGAGTGTCCCAATAGCTTCTTGGAACAAGATCCTCTCCAGCTGTTTTGAGCACCTGTAGAATTTTGAGAATGCATAGATGTTGGGGAGAGGAAAAAAAATCAGTCAGCAAGAACAGCTATACACTGTAACATCTGAGAACCATTTCCTTATTTATCATATAATTTTACAATTAAATGATTTCTTAAAAATAAACAACTGTTTTAATTGTCTAAAAGATATAGTTTTAAATTACATACAGATGGAAAAGCAAGTCTGAAAGAGTATTTGTATACATTAGGTAGATGTACACAATTAGAAAGAACATTTTATTTTTTGTCTATTAATTTCAAATTACTGGATTATGCATTTTTCCACCATGTTTAAGGGAAAAAAATAGTAATGTGCATCAATTCCAGAGAAAGAGATCCTTAAGGCTTATTAAAATCAACTGGCCTTTTGTAAGGCTGTGCAAATTTTTTAAACAATCACTTCACTATCTGTGGGATCATGCAGGAAATACTTTTCTTAAAATCATTGAAGCAACTATGTCCAGGCTCATGAAGCTTTGTAACTTCTTCCTGGCCTATCGGTAGAAAGGATTTGCACAGGCTTATCCTTCAACCAGTTATGACTGTCAAGTCCCATGGATTTCTCTGATAGAAGCCTGATACGGAATACTGTTTACATCACATTAAAAGAACTCTTAAAATAATCTAGTAAAATTGAATTAAGGACATTAAATTTTATTTATTTAGTGACCCAGCTATCTCTCTTAACAAAAATTTAGTCAGTGGTCAGCTTTGGCTGAATGATAAATAGAATATTCATCAGAAGCCAGCATAGCCTCTCAATATCACACAGACACACTTGAATGCTGCTATCTAATGTAGATATTTTTCTTCAGGAAGAAAACTATTCTTAATTATATGCTAAGAAATTATATTCATTTTAGTTTTTCTCTAGTGGAATGTTAGATGATAAAGTGAGGTTTATAATGTGTACAGCATGTTTAAATGCTTTGTCATTCTTCTAGGAGTTACCAAAATATTAACTGAGGTTCTTATTAGTAAATATTACCTAAAAAGAAATACATTAATTTTGAATAAAATTCCAAGTGGGTAAGCCTAAGAATGTACATTTCTATCTAAAACTAATTTTGCGTTACCGCAAATGGCAATCATATGGCTGTGGGATGCTCACATTGTAAGTGTGAGCCGGTTGCCAAGCACCCAGATTGCGATCACATGACCATTTACAGGGACCTGACATAATTTTGGTCACTGAACAAATGGTTGGTAAGTGAGAATTACTGAGATTGAACATGATAGTGGTGATATAGGGAAAAGAGACAACAAACTGAATATTAAAAACTGTAGCAAGTCCACTCTGCAGTCCGTGGATCTTTCTGTGTAAAGGATTTATGATTACTGATTATTTATAAATTTTAAAAATTGAGGGACATATCTCTCCATTGTATATATTTTGAAAATGAGTAGGAGAAAAAAGTTTTGGATCTCATGTAAACATAACTCATGAAAATAGCCCTAATTTTTCAGGCTTGAGATTCTTTTGTTCAGACTGTCATTTAATGAATAACAGAGGCCTCCTGTTCTTGCATGATGTACATCTACCTAATATTCAGGTTCAGAAAACAAATACATTGTGTCAGCCTATTAAACTACTGACTGTATAGAGAAAAACTGTATGCCTTTGTATGCCTCAGTGCCTTGATAATGATTGAAAGTTGGTGGGCACCAATTATTATTATTGCCTCAATATCCAGCAAATCGTTCAGGATACTTATATGATCAATACAGAATTAGTATTTCTCAAACTGAACATACTTCATTTTCATCCAACATTTGTTAGCTTGTCAGGAAGTACATGCAATGCATGCTTACTGCATGCATCAAACAATGATCTGAGAAAGTAATACATAATATGAAGGTATAGCAGTTCTCTACTCTGACTCAGTTCAGTTGTATCTATGCTATGTCCTTAATGATTCATTATTACCTTACATTATTTAAGAATGTTACTGGTACTAAAAAGGACTATATTTAAAACAGCAGAAAGTTAATTGCTTAAAATTAGAAACTCATAATTGAACTGGTTTTCTCTTGTCTGCCGATCTCTTGCTTTATATATATAAAGTATTATCACTCACTACAAATACTAAGACTTGAATTTTAAGTCATAGTCAAGAAATGTCATTGTCCTGAGTTTTAAGACATTTAAAATCCACAGTAATCAGAGAAGTCTAAATATGACTTCTACATAAAGCAGAATAGATTGCAAATAAAAACTTCCAGTATATTTGTAGAAGATCAAAAACAAATGCATCTCCCATCAGTTTGTCCTTTGGTCCTTTCACCCACCTATGGTGTAAATCTGGAGCTGTCTTGGTGAACAACATAATAAAAATAATTTATTTGATTATTGTTATTGGAGTGGAGTAGAGCTGGAAGTGATTGCTTTTTTATTGCTTTTATACTGGGTTTTAATCTTGATAAGCTGCCCAGAATCACTGAGAGTGAGTTGGGCAGCCATATACATTTTCATTCATTCATTCATTCATTCATTCATTCATTCATTCATTCATAAATAAATAAATAAATAAATAAATAAATAAGACACAATTACTATCTTGTTCTTCTACCTAAATATTATAGAACCAAACAATTTCCAAGTTAGGCTTACAACAATTAATTTCACTTGATTTACAATGAACATGTGGCTTTAAAAATGAATTGCTCCATAAATTACACTAAGCCATAGTTTATATAACTATAGTTATATAGTTATTCGGTTGATCCAGTTGCTGAATTAACGCATGCTAAGCCAAAATCAAATGAAGCCCATTCTGGCTTAGTGAATATGTGAATCTAATCATTGCCAAATATACTGTATTGCAAAGAATATTTATATCATAAAAATGATTGCTTATAGATCAGTAAACAAGTTTAGAATACATACATTAGTAGAACTGTGGTATCCATAAAGCTGGAGATGCTGATATAAAGCAGTATGAGTGAAGAGTTGAATTTCAAAACAAAACCAGTAAAAAAAAGGAAAGAAATCAGCAATTAGCTAAGATATGCAAGCCTACATTAAAAAATATATTATAAACTAAGCTTTATAGCTAAGGTTTTAAGCCACATTTTAATATGTAGATTTTTAGTTACCTTTAGATCACATTCTGACCTTAAAAATACAGTTATGTAAGACTAATAATGAACAGAATTACAAACATACAATTTTTTTTTAGGAAGTCATAATTTTTCATACAAAGTATTAGAATCTTTTCTTTTCGGTTGGTTCTGGCTCTTCCAAAGAAAAGAATAAAGCTGCTGGAGCAGATGAAAGGAGAAATTGCAAGATTGGTTCTAAAATCTGAAATACTCTTATTTAAAGTGCTCTTCATGGGTACAAATGATCTGTTTATGAACTTCTAATTATGCCTGCTACTTATTTCTTTTGTGTCTATTTCTTCTATTACCAGTAAAAGCTTCCAGAGGCTTAGGTGCCCTCCATGCTATTCATCTACATTGTTAAAAGATGGATTTCTGACACAAGCAAGAACCTCTTAGAAAGATGAACATATTACAAATTAGCAAATATCCAATGTAACATTTGCAATAGGCTCTTGTTTACTTTTGAGTTATTAATTACTCTTAAGTAAAACTCAAAGACTTTGGAGGGTACATATAAGATATTTTAATTGAGATAATGAAGTACCATTCAAATAAAAAACATTATAATTACTGTATATTAGGTATTAGATACTTCATAACTCAGACATTTTAGCAAAGTGGTTATTATTGATGATGCGAACATTTTAAAGGTTTCTTTTAAAAATGGTATACCAAATAGCATTAAAGTAATTACAGAAGTATTTTACTGCAGTTTAGAAAAATCTGCAGTATGATAGTCATGTGAGAAACATTCTGACTACAGTAGATAAAGTAAATTTTAGTTCAGCTGTAATAGTTTTAGCTGCTCAATAAATTACTTTCCATGTCAAAACTATATTCACTTTAAAAAAAGATGGAAAGGCAATGCTAAAAATTACTGCACCTGTTTTTCCTATTAAAATCAGCTGAAATTATACGTGCAACTTATAGTACTGCGGAAAAACAATGGTTTATTTCCATCAGTCTGAAGATATATTTGCTTGATTTTGTTCTTCTACAATTTCTGTTTCAGTTAAAGTTTGGGCTATGATAAAGGCTCATATTCATCAGAAAAGAAAATGTGCAATGCTGTTATTATTATTAATGTAATAATCTTATCCTATATATTACTGACAACAACATTCAAAGAATTATGAAAAACCCTTTAATATTTGTTTAAAATCCTCACCAGCATTGAACGCTTTTCTTCATCTCCTTTTCTTTCTTTCTTCTCATTTTTCTTTCTAAATATGTCTTGCAGCTGAAAAAAATTAAAAATGGTTATTTATTTTAATGATATTTATGGACAATACCACAGTCATATACAGTACTTTGTGATCCAGTGTAGGAAAAAAAGAGCCTTAGCTTCAGCTGAATAATATAAGCAATATTGTTGGCATTTATTTTTTAATATAATAGTTTTTAGATAGCTTTTAACTGCTATTCTCCCATAGATAAAGACAAATGCAGTATTATGTTTAGCAGCACACTGAAATCTCAAATTATTAATAAATGAAGTTTGACAGTCCCGTTAGGTACTATGCATGCCAATAGATGTTGAGAGTTTCCTGCAAGAACTGTCATCTGCAACTTTTTTATTAGTAATAACAGAAACCAACTTTGTAAGGTTTGCATCTGATTCAATTAACTTGATCAAAAACTTCTAGACATGCCTGATTGACATGCTACACTTAATATTATGGCATAGGTGCAAAACCCCTCCTATCAGGTGGTATGTTGCCTTAACTTCCTCAGCCCAATTCTTTTATTAATTGATTTGCTCTGAATTGTAAGGCCTCTCATCTCACAATAATGAATAAAAATGAAAAATAAACAACAATAAACAACAGTGCTACCTCTGCTGGCAGAGGAGGCTTGCGGCGGAACCCATCAGTCAAGGAACTTTGGTTCCTGTCCCCTGGGGTAAGGTTTGCCTCCACCCCTCTATCTTTCTGCAAGGGCCTAAAGACCTGGCTCTGCTGGATGGTCTGGGGTCCCGATAGGAGATGGCTACTGGGATAATTAGCTGACACTTCCCTTTGTGCTTCCCGCTTCCCCTCTGCCCACCTTTTAATTCACATTATTGTACTTTTATTGCTAATTTTTATTGTTTTCATTGCTTTGCTAGTGTTTGTTTAGATTTTTTTAATCATTTTTTTCTGTTTCGCTGTTGTAAGCCACCCAGAGTTGCAGCACGCAAATTTAACAATAAATAAATAATATAAAAAATAAAAATAAAACATAAAAAGCAATATAAAAAAACCTACAACGGCAACAGTAAGTGTGCATGTGCATGAGAGAAAAAAATGTTTGCATTTTGTTTGTATGGGAGAATGTAAGGCAAAAAAATTGTAGTTTTGATCATATGTATTTATTTTTAAACTTGGGAATTAAATTTCAAATGAACGTGGGACTCAGGTGTGGAAATGAGGATCAACAGATAAAATCATAATATTAACATTTAATATCTAATTTCACCCTACACTCACTTTTGAAATTTTTCTAGGTAACCCAACAACTTAATGATAATTTTAATAACTAGCAAATGCACTGTGTTTTTAGAAATACCCGAGTCTCTGACCCAATATTGGTATTCATTAAAAATATAACAGTTCCCACTGAAAACATACCACTTCAGAATAGAAGGTATAGCTTCATATTCTGTTTATTTTCTCATGAAAATTTCCAAATATAAAAAGCTATTTATTAAGTAAGAAGGATTCTAGCCCCATTTCTTTCATTTGGCATATTAGGTTTTGAAGGAAAGAACATTCTTAAATGTAGAAGCCTCCATCATGTAATCTGCCACCTGCACTCTGTAGCATTGACCCAAGAGATTACACCATATGTTCTTTGAACATTTGAAACAGCTCACATTGGACTCAACTCTAAAGTTAGTTTTTAAAAAAGGTAAAAAGAGTGTTGGTAATTGAAAAGGCAAAAAGACCTTTTTTTTAAAAAAAAAAATCTTCTATGCTTTGATTTCCCTTACACCAGATACAGGGAAGAAGATCTTGTTGCATTCATCAATAAAGCTCATTTGATCTTCTGGAAATGAACCTTTTGTGTAGAAGGATACCAAAGAATACGGCTACAGGATACCAAAGAATACGGCAGTGAACATGAATTAATCTAGGAGCACTTTTCATAGGAACATTGTCTGAAACAAAATAATGGGATTGACTGTTGAAAGCTGAAGGACAAAACAACATCTCTTGTATCAAGGGAACAAAATCCCTCTGTTCTCTGACCTCAAACCTATGACATAAGCAAACAGTGTTTTAAGAAAAAACCTGTTAAGCATTTGATGACTTAATTTAGATAATTTTTAATGTTTTGCTGTATACAAAAACCCTCTGGGTGTTATAAACTCTACATTATCATGTTTCACATTCTTTATGCAATGAGACTTAATAAGTATCAACATGAAGAGTAATATCGTAGAATTTGTTTTATTGGTTTCCTTTACATAAAAGCTCACTCAGTTTCCTTTCAAGATCGTTTACATCTTATAGTCAAAGGTAAAATAGCAGGTACTGGAAAAGTCTTTGGTTTACATTAAATGTTTCTGGGAAAGTTTTCTTAAAGCCCCTATTCTATAATGTTGGTCACAATTTACACTCCTTTCACATCCAGGCTCTTTTAAATATAAACGATAAACATGCTTATTTAGATGAAACTGCACCATAATCTTCTTCCCTCTCTGATTTCACAATAGTGATCTACAAAATGTCTGTGTTTCATGTTTGCAAATTAGATATCTATCATTTCATGCCTTCAAAATGCCAGATCAGATTCACTGAAGAAAGTTATTATATTGGGAAGAGTTAGCGGTAAAGGGAAACTAAGCCACCTAAAAACATGATGGTTGGACACTATCAAAGCTGAAACCAGCCAGTGCAAGATTGGAAGATATGAAGAGGCCCAGATATCTGGCCCATAGAATCGCAAAGAGTCAGAACAACTGAATGGATAATATCATCAACATCATCATCATATGAAGAAATTACATTAGTCAAGTAGAAAAGATTCAAATGAAGAACCAAAGAATTAAAAAAATATATACAATGTAAAGGTTTGGAAGAATAATTGGTTAAGATAGATATTATTAAATGAGATTATTTTTTTTCCTTTAAAATTTGAACTTGAGTAACATTTATTTACAAAAAATATTTTTTCCTTTGAAAAAGTTTTAAAAAATTAAAAACATGTTAAAAAAACATTTTAAAAAGTAACAATTTTAAAAAGTAACATGTAGCATACCTACCACTAAGAACTCTTTTTTGTCCACCATTTCATTTCCATCTGTATCAAACATGTTGAATGCTATTCTAAAACCAGCATGTGGTTCTGCCAAGAATGATAAAAAAAGATGTAAGAGAAACAAAATTTTAAGAATTATACTGAAATTAAAGGCCAAGTTGTATGCTACACTGGCAGCTATTCATACATGAATACAACATCTTCAAATCATAAGAAAAAAAGAGGTGACGTGTTTAAGATTACTAGCAAAAGGAATGCTATATACCTATACTTAACTCTATTAAATGCCTCCTCCACACTACTTTTTTCAGCAAATCTCTGTTACCAGATGTATTTTCAGCTACATCAAAAATCTTCCCTGTGGACTGAAGTGAGAAAGGTGTCCATGACAGGTAAAATCAATCTGCCAGCCCCATTTTGCCTTTTTGACATGAGTATACGGTGTTTCAACATATAAAAGTGTTATTATTACACATAATTTGGTCCTGTTTGGTCAAAGACACTGTAGAAAACTAGATCCACTTTAAATGATAGCAGAACACTAATAGCCTTTCCACAAATGTATTATTATACCAGCAGAATGCTCTAATACATATTTCTGGTCCTCCAAATGTTATTATCAACCTCCAAAAGGTAGTCCAATACTCGCTTCTCCTTTGTTTTCATACCACAAAAGTCTTGTCTTTCTTCAGAAAAGAGAATTAAATTTGTGCCATTGTTCAATATTTCAAAATGTGTTGATTTTCTATGCCTTCCTATTACTGAAACACTATAGTGATAGGAATGCCAGAAGGTATAGACCAGGAGTAGGCAACCCAAAACACTCAAAGAGCCACTTGGGCCCGTTTCCCACCGAAAACAAAACAAAACAAAACACACACACACACATATATATCATAAAGGTAAAAAAGGATATATGCAGTATTATCTTCATTTTAGATGTCAAAAGGGTCTCTCCCTCCCTCCCTCTCCCTCTCTCTGCCCTTGGTCTGTCAGTCCTCTTCCCCCACTCTCTTTCTTTCTCTCTCTCTCTCTTCCCCTCTTTTTCTCTCTCTCTCTCTTTCCTCTCCCTCTCTCTTTCTCTTTCCTCCCCCCTCTCTCTTTCCTCTCCCCGCTCTCTCTCTTTCCTCTCCCTCTCCCTCCCTCTCTCTTTCCTCTCCCTCTCTCTCTTTCTCTTTTTCTTTCAAATATTGGGGCCAACAATTTAACACTGAGAAGTAAATCTTGAATTGTACTTGTTACTGTCTGTTATCAATAATAGGGAGTTTTAAATATTTCCACTATAGTAATTGCTATGCCAATGTTTTTCAACAGAATAAAGGATATAACTTTATCAGAACAGCTGCTAAAATATTATCCTACGTTAGCTAAAGAAATTGTAATTTTATCTTCAATTATTTTTAGTAACTTTTTGCTAGGACACTGCAAAAACAAATTACTATTTATTAACACATACAACATTAACATTACATACATGCATCTGTGGAAAATATATTGTACTCTGAATGCTTACTTGTTAAGATACATAGTAAAAAGAGATATTCTGTGTAAGAAATTATACCTGAAAAAGTAAATCAACAAATTAGCATCATTTTTACTTAAATATTAGCAAATGATGATTGAAGATATAGTAAAATTATTTATTTGCATATCATTCCTCCTTTATTCCAGGGAACTCATGGGGGCTAACAAGGCTCCTCTGATTTTATTCTCACAACTTGTTAAAGCTGAGTCTGTAATTTATACATGTTTGTTAACAGAATAGTAATGGAACCAGGATCTCCACATTCGGCAGTCTCCATTGATACGGGCAATCTATTTCCAACTTGTTCCAAGGCTGGAAATCAGATCATTGATTAGTATTTTCACAATGTGACAGCACAATGTTTTCATTTATCTGTACCTTATGCATACATTAATATTCTGCAAAAAACTTTTCATAAAAATGGATTGTAAATGCTAGTTTTAACTATTATGAAGGAATAATATACAGCACAATGCCAATGTACTTTCCTCCTCAATATTTCAGGAGACTACATTGGTACAAAAAGGACTGCCATCACAATCTACACTTAATATGTGTGTCTGCAACAAGCCAAAGTGCTATTTCCTGTACATACTGTACTTAGTTCTGTTCAATTTCATTTTTTCCTCCCATTTCTGTGAGAGAGAGAAAAAAAAGGAGAGAAGGAAGTGAAGGTGAAACTGCTTATGTTTATCTGATTATATCAAATTATGTCAGTGATATAGTCATCCTCGTTTTTATTCACCCTTTTGGGTTGGTGTAGTCATGATCTTTGTCTTCCAGTCCCTGGCCAGAGACATCGCCTGGGCATGGACTGGGACATATCAAAACAGAGAGAATGCAGGTTTTAGCTGTCCAATCAAGTTTCACCCATTTGTACTTGCATGTGACATTGATAGGGCTTCAATCATCTTGTTGTGATTATAGTGCTGTCTTTACCATCTGATCCTTCCTCCCGAGTTTTAGGAGAGCATTTAAGACCTGGCTATTCCAACAAGCACAGGAGGAGGGCATGATGTGGGAGAGGTTTCAAACTAACAGATACATTATTTTATATAGCTTTTTGATAACTCTGACGACGTTAATTTTGTTTGCAATATATGTTTAAACATATAAATGTTTTGTTTATATATTTAAACATATAAATAAAATGATTTTGATTAGCTGCCCATAGTTTATAGGAATGATTGTACAAATAAAGGAAATAAGTAGGGAAATAAAAATTATAATGAGAAAAGCATGAGTATCATATAAATAATTTTTGCCCAATACTGTTATATCATTTTAAACTGTTAATACAGACAAAGTAACTGGAAACAAAAACCACCGATCCAGAAGTGAAAATTTCTTCTGTAGAAATGACTTTTGAAGGCATGAGGAGCATTAATATAATACTGAATCCCTGAATACTTTTCCGATCTCAGTGCAAATGTGCCTTTTAAGTTACTAATGAAACAAGGGTAATGCACTGCACTAGTACCAAATTAACAAACTAGTTTAATATACTTTATGTGCGTAATTTAAAGTCTCTAATATATTATAACTATTTGTAATCTTGTCTAATTATAGATTCTATTTATTAATGTATTTATAAAAGACATTTTAAAATAGCTTATAGTTTTCTGTTAATTTGAGTTGAAGAATTTTCACAAACATGACCAAAACTAATTGCAAAAAAAGCAGTAAATCTAATAACACATATTAAAGCAACACAAGTTCTCCTCAACTTATAACTGGTTGCTTAACAACTGTTCAAAATCACACAGGGCCCAGAATAGGTGATTTACAGCCTGTAAAATACTTCCGGTTGTCATAAAATGTGCCACCACCAACTGGTCATGTGAGTCAATTTTGGGCACTTGGCAAGTAGCTCTTCTGTATGATTGGTTGCAGGGTCCTGTGACCAAGATTTGAGATGGTTTTTGCCAGTTTGAAAGATTGTGTTTATCATTACAACTGTGGTGTTTGCTTGGTGAACACAGTGATTCGCTTAATGGCTACCACAAAAAGGATAAAAAAATTAAGTCCTTGACTTATGATTGTAGTAACATAAACCAGAAATCTGGTCCGAATTGCAGTTGTTAGCAACTAACTATATGTACACTTTTTAAATATTGCCCATACTGATGCTGAGAAAACAAAAATGCCAAAGCAAACTCAGATAATTTTGACTGCATTTTCTTTCAGAAAAGATGCAGATAGACCTATGAATTTTATGTTAAATTCAAATGAACAGTATTTACTCATAGTACTAATATTGTGTATATCAACAGTATGCACTATAATCTCTAGTTGAGAATGAAAAGAATTTCATAGTAAAAACAAAGCAAATATTCTTCAGTACCCCTTTCTTGGAGATTCCTGAAGAGTTTTGATGATCCTTTCCAAACTGGTGGAGTTTCAATAAGTATCTGATTCAATTCCTGCAAATTAGTTTTTAAAAAAGATGATGACATTGTCTTCATAATAAACAGTGCATTTGCAAACGTATACCCACTAACATATTTCTAGACAACATAGGATTGTACAGTCATAGAAAAAAGAATACCAAATGATAAAGTTCATGTCCCATGGAAATTGAATGTTTGGGTTAAAAACTTTCTTGAAAAACACTTGAAAAACATTTCTAATAAAAATGCAGATTAATTTATAAAATATGCAAGAGTTACTTTATAGGGGAGATGGGCAGCATAATAAATAAATAAATAAATAAATAAATAAATAAATAAATAAATAAATAAATAAATAAATAAATCAATCAATCAATCAATCAATCAATCAATCAATCTTCACATGCACAGCAACCACAGACCAATATTATTATTTCCATACATGAAATTGAGAAAAAATAGAGTTTGGCCAAATGCTACTATTGCTTGAGTCAGTATATAAAACCTAATTTGGAAGAGAATTGTAACGTACCTGTTTTGAGAGTGTCTTCCACTGTTTTGTCTCTAAAACAAATACAAAACCAATTACCTAAACAAGTATTTAATGACATGCTACTATATATGGCTGGCATGATTAATATTCATCCTATCTCTTGTCATGTCAGGAAATAAAATAACCTTTCTAGTCTCAATGTTTTTAGTAATACTTTTTAAATGTGAAAATGCACTGTTCATCATTATGATCTTATTCATATGGGAATATCATGTATGATTAATTAATATTAAATGCAAGGTGTAACTCACAAATAGTAAAATTTGGGAAGAAAAAAATTGTAAAGCTTTTCCACTAAAAATAGTAAAACTTTATGGACATGTCCATGCATTTCTTAGCAGTAATGAGGAATTGGTTTGCTACTGTTATATTTGAAGTCTAGGTTACAGCCATGATATTCCCTGACAATCTGTATTTGCCTGATAGACTCACTATTACCAATAATAATGTTTAATCTAATACTTTCAAAATAAATCTGAATAAGTAATAACACTTTATAAAAAATATGAAAAAATATAAACTCATTAAAAAGTAACCATATCAAAAATAGAGTTTCTGCAACAAAATGGGATTAGTAATTGACATAAACTGAATTAATTGAAATGGATGAGCAAGGGAAAGAAAAAGAGAAGAAAGAAAAATGACATTGAATGAACAGCTAATTTTGTTGGAGTGCTTGTAGAATATTGCAATGAAATACACATGTAAGACTTATAGAAAATTATTATAATGTGAACAAGTCATTTTTCCTTTAGTTTATAGTGTCTTAAAGTTGTACTTAAACTTAAATATTTGAAATTTAAAAATGCTAGCTCTGTAATATAGAACAGGGGTCCCCAACCCCCGGTCTGCGGACTGGTACTGGGCTGCAGCCACTTAGGAACCAGGCTGCGCAGCTGGAGGTGCACTGAAAGCGCATCTTCCACCTCCAGGAATGCAGCAGGTTTGCAGGGGTCTGGGCAGGGGCAGGAGAGTGGTAGGGCAGAAGCTGTCTTTCTCAGTGCAAGGTCTTCTGACAGCTGCCCTTGCAACTGGTTTGCAACATCTGAGCTCCATGTCCTTCCTCCTCTCCCTCCTCCTGCTTCTTCTGCTACCTCTTCTGCCTCCTCCTCCTCTTCCTGGACCTGGTCCCTCTTCCTCCTACTTCTTCCTCCTTCTTTTCTTTCTCACTTTCCTCCTCTGTCCCCTCCTGGCACCCCAGCTGGGCTTGTGCTCCCTTCATGCAACTCTCCAAGTTTGCAAGACAAACACTCGCCAGCCCAGCTTGCAACCGGAGGCTCTCTCAAAGCTTCATTGGAGGGGGATCCCCTCCCCAAGGTATGTGTGTATAAAGGTGTCTTTCTCAGTGTGCAGATAGGGGCAGGGAGAAGCTACCTTTCACTAAGCACTGCATCTCCAAGGGATACACTCTCTCCCCCTCCCTCCCTCTCTCTCTCTAGTCTGCACCTTTTCTAAGACCGCTGGGCTCCGTTGCACTTCAACTGGAGTTTTTTGCTTTTATTTTGCTGTTCCAGGTGCCTCATGTTTTGCCAACATGCTGCCTGCTTTTCAAGGTTTAATTTGGTGTATTTGTGTGTGTGTGTGTTTGTGTGTTCCTCCTTTCTTCATGCAGCTCTCCAAGTTTGCAAGCCAAGCGCACTTCTACCCGGCTTGCAATGGAGATGGGGGGGGGGAGAACCTACATTTCTCCTTAAGCACTATGTCTCCAAGGGAATCCCTCTCTCATTTGCACCTTTTCCAAAGCTGCCGGGTTTGCGCAGTGCTGAGTTTGTTTGGTCTCTCTCTCTCTCTGTTTCTCTCTTTTTTGAATGGTTTTTTCAGCACTTCCTCAGCATGCTGGATCTTTGGTTTGTTTTGCTGGAAGGCTGAGTTTAGAATTGTCTCTTTTCCTTCCCACTTTCTTGGAAGTGGTCTAATCTAATACAATAATATAAATAAAGTGCATTATTTATTTATTTAGAAAATTTACAATAAATGAATCATCCTGAAATATTCCCTCCTCCCCCCCCCCCACGGGTCCCTGGAAAAATTGTCTCCCATGAAACCGGTCCCTGGTGCCAAAAAGGTTGGGGACCTCTGATCTAGAACTAAAAGATTTTAGTTTTCAGTGCATCCTTAGAGCAAAACTCACATTCAGAGTTACCCTGAGGTAAGATGAATGGCCAATACATTTTACAAATAAATAAATAAATAAAAATTTCATAGAATTTACATCTACAGATAGGGTTGGGTCCAAATGAATTTAATGATAGTTCTATGAAGGTCCTAAATGTGAGGATTGGTCACAAAGTTACTTTTTAATTACCACTGTGACTGAATGGTTGCTAAACAAGGTGGTTGCTAAATAAGGGCTACCTGTAATTTCAAATAATCATTGCAGCCATGGATTTAGACTGTTGCTATCCACTTCCTGTTCATCTTGCTGCTATTCTTGCTGCCCTAATTTCAACAGAGATAAAAGAAAATATAGACAAAAGGCCATTTTTCGGATATTTTGGTTCCCAGATCAAGATACAGTAGGCTTTAAACCTATGGTTAAGGTTATTTTCTTTCTTTTTCTATGTAGAAAAATGACCAAGTTGATCTGTACAGAGTTTATATTAATAAACATTCTGAATCTTTAACTTGCCACAATTCTTTTTATTAGAGCAATGGAACACTATTGACTCTATTTCTAAATAGATTTAAATTATATGTGAGCACAAATGTAATACCTGTCTGCAATCAGCTGCATCAATCCCCAAGCTTGTGCTGCTAAATGAATCCACAACACTTCAGAGCTACAGTATATTTGTTTTTTCTGTTAAAAGGCATTGCAATTTCTGAAAAGGTGTGATAGTTTTGAAATATTACCTTCCTTTCCTTTTTAATATAACATCTCAGAAATCAGCTTTTTGTGCTGTCTTTGAGATATCTCATTTTACTTAGCAAAATCTTAATTTTCAACATAGGGTATTAAAAATTTCTAATGTACATTTTAAATATGGCAAGCACCATGGCTTTCAAGATGAGAATCTTATATTATGCATTTGAGCTCCCTGAGCAAAATTACATGAATTACCATGAATTCAACCAATCACAGCATCTACCTATTAAATACATAACTGCAAAAATATAGAAGATCTGAGCTGTGCCTCCACCAAATAAGGAAGCTTTAATTATGAGGGTTCATTATAGAAAGAATAATGTAGTCTTTTAAAAATGAGATTTTAAAAATTTCCTACTTACCTCTTGGTTCATCACTTGAAACAGATTGGATGAAATCATATGGTGTCATAAATAGCTGCCCTTCAAATTTTAAACTGGCAAAAGTTAGAAACCGCCGTTCCCGGGAAGTTGCATAAAGCTCTAAATCTTCATGATCTGGTCTGTTTTCTGTGACCTTCAGCAAAAAATTAAAAAGTGATTAGTTATTTCAATTATTGTTTCTAAAACTATGTTTCAAGCACTAAATTGTTTCCTTTATTTTTTCCTCTTTTCATATTTTAAATTCTTTAGCTTTATCACAGCTATACTGTTCTATTGTAAAAACAAGGATATATTAGCTATTGGGATACTATTATGCAGTGGTGGGATTCAAATATGTGAACAACCGGTTCTCTGTGTGGATGCCGCTTCCGGAGGTCCATTCTGGGCCTGGGCAACAAAAAATTAGCTACCAGTGGTACGAACTGGCTGAATCTCACCACTGCTATTATGGGTTATATTTTTCCGTGAAATCAAGTAGGAAACTTGAGGGAAAAGAAAATGGTCTTTTTGACTATAAAATAACTACTAAGCAAAGCTGCTTGTAAAAGAAAGAACTTACATCGCACAAGGCTGTTATGAATCCATTTTGCTCTGAAACAAACCATGCCTAAGTTATGCAGATTCAAACATTTTTATTAAACACAATGAAAATCACACCTGATACAGCATGTAATGAGATCCCAGAGAGGACAAAAGCACTGGTGAGGTAATGGGTAAGTGTCAGTTAAGGGTCCAGTTTCTATTCCTACTTTTGGAGATTATCTGATTAAAATCTCTTCGTAATTAGCTGCAAACCTCAAAAACTTTCATGAAAACATATCCCCATCAAATGAAGTTAAAACTTGTGTCTTGCAGTGATGTTTTATCAAGATAACCCTCAGTAGTTTTAAAAAACTGGGCAGTCATTTATAGCAAACAAACCATCATAAATCTATGATTGAACTTGAATAACATTTTAGTTTAGATGTGAAACCTCTTCTTCCTCCAGCCACCCATGGAATATAAAGGTTGCAAGAAGCCCCTGAGCCACAGCTCAGCATGAAGTCACAGCCACCCCTTCAGCCGTTACAGCCTGGCCCAGCAGCCCAACAGTTACAGCTACCTTGGGAAGCCCTAGCCAGATTCAGCAGTGTTATGTCAAGCCATAGCTGCTCTGCGAAACTGCAACCCAGTCCAGCAGTATGGCATAGTGTGAAGTTGTAGCTGCCCTGGGAAGCCCCAGCCTGGCCTAGCAATGTATGACACAAAGCCACAATAGGAAGGAACTAGGAAGCCATAGCTGTCACAGCTCACTCCTAGATACAATCACTCTCTTCAGCCTGCACTCCAAGGCCTCTGCTGCCCGGTACTCCACCACCCCAGCTAACTACTGTCTTGCTTCTGTTGCTGACAAGGCATGCCCAGCCTGGCTGTTCACAAGGCAGCTTCTGGCCATGTAAGAACATCTTCTCCAGGTCTCATCAGAAAATTACTACATTTGATCTGGGGAAGAGGGATTCATGTGGCCATCAGCTGCATCATAATGGGCCAGGCTGGACATACTTGATTAGCAGCCAGAGCAAGAAGACAGCAAAAGTCACCTAGGATGGTGGGGGCCCTGGAGTGCAGGGGGCGAAAAATGGGAGGCAGATTGGTGAGTGGGGGCAGATGAACTGACACTGCAATTGTAAATACGGGTAGGCTGAATTTTGATCATGTGACCATGGGGCACCGCAATAGCCGTAACTTGGGGAATCAATCCTAAATCTTTTCATTCACTGCTGCTATAACTTTGAACTATCACTAAATGGTCATTAAGCAAGGACTACCTGTAAAACAAAAGGACTGGCAATCCTACAGGTGATTGGAATCTCTCTCGTTATTTTTGCTGGACTTGTAGTTTTCACTTGTCTGAATCACATGGAAATGGGTGAATGTCATAGCTTCCAAATATGGTTGAAAGACTGTTTGTGAGAACAAAGAAAAACACAGGGACAGTAATGAATATCTGGGCTATAGCTGCAACACATAGTCCCTTGACTTAGAAATTTCAAAGCTATTTGCAAAGGTCTGATTAAAAGAAATATTGCCATCTCTTAGTTGCTTTCCAGTTCTCTTTCCTCAGCTTATTGATCTCATCTCCCTGTTACAGATAAAAGATTTGGTTACCAATGCAATTTTTTTCCACAAGAGGAAACTGCAGCGGAACCCTGTTTACAATTGTTACTCCATGTGTTCATCACATGGCTATCAACAGATGCTCAGTGATATGCTAGCACTAATTACCTGTGAAGGCTTAGGGATTTAATTCTCTTCTCTTGTTTTCAGTAAGCATATTGATTCTTGTCTCCTTTCTGGAAATTAGCTAGAGCCTGATATCATACATACTTATGCATTAGACATCCAGGGGAAAGAAATTATTGAAAGCAATTTTCTCATGGATGATGCAGAGAACAAACTTTGGGATTGTTTTAAACCAGACATGTCAAACTCATGACATCATGTGAC